AACTGGTTTCATTGACGTGTTCTCAGGCAGGCTTATGAGCATGATCAGCGAAGGGAGAGGCTGGGAGATGACCGCTGAGATGTTTGCTTCAGATGCACTTCCATAGCTAGGTACGGTTCAAAAGGAGAGAAGACCCAGCAGAAAACCCCGACCTAGAGCCTGGTTCAATCAAGATCCTCTAAAGATCCATTTTTTCTCGTCTCGCCATAATAGTCCCAGAATCTGATGGAGTGGTTGACTGGCATCCCGCATCCCGCATGTGTTCCGATGCCCTAGAGATCGGCGTGTGTTCATACCTGATGGATGTGGATACCCCTAACCGAGGTCATCCTTTTCCGGCCCGGATGTTGTTCTTTTTGGAATTGCAAGCGAGGATGACTCCAGCAAAAAGAGCCGCCACCTTTTCGGGCATTGTCAAATGTTGCAGAGGCTGTGCCTCCACCACGTTCTCATTTTTGGAGATCTCTTTGCAGCCCATCTGGGAAATCAAGGTTCGTTCTGCCCCCAATTTCCGGGGACAACGGTCCGCTTCACTCATTCCGGCCGGTCTGTTGCCGTCCGACTCCTCGTGCGAGGCGAGACGAGCCGGTGGAGCAGCCCCAAGCTTCACGGCCGGTGGCCTTAAAAGAGGCGAGGAGGACGGAGGAGACGGCCGACCGGGCAGCCGCGAGCGTGGGAGGAGGAAAGGATCCGAAGTGGATTCTTTAGAGACCTGGATCTTCGATGCCACATTGATGCCTTTTGTCTATGGCCCTCCCTCCTTCCCTCCCCAAAAAAGGAAGATCTCATCATGTAGCGAAACATGACGCCTCTATGGGCTCCGAACTTGGATGACATCCCTTTGAATGATCCTGGGCCGTCCCTTTGGCTCGTCCCGAGCAATCGGAGGACGAAGACCAAACCGCTGGTGCCATCCATGTAACCGATGATTCAGACACCGGTTTTCTGCTCCACGTGGTTGAACGCAGTGGGTTGTCTAATACGGATGGCAGCTGCCTGGCAACGTGCCGGTCTGCAGATGGCCTGGAGGGCCAATTGCACACGGTTTTTCGGTCAAAGATGTTCAAAGTATTGCAGGCAGATGCCCTCTTAACGTCGCTTGTAGATCTTCAATGAGGGAAAAGCAGGAGAGCAAGTTGAAACCAGACAAGTCTTCCATGTGATGGATGGTCAATTTATGGGTTCGTCAGTTTACCTTTCACTCACAACTTAGAAACCCCAAAAACGTGGAAGTCTATGAGATGTACTCCTCAAACACAGGCTCTGCATCCGAAAGATGTCTGTGGACTTGGGAAAGAAGCCCAAGGCCAGTGAACCGTCTTTTATTGTTGACGGCTGACGAACCACTTCCCCTCGCTTGGACACATTCGACCATCTACTAGGTAGAGTCTCATTTTTTTTGTTGAGCAACCGTCCACATTTTTAGCACCCAATTCAGATGCCTGGTTCTTGGGAGAAAAAAACCACTGGGTGGTTTGATTTCAACCACCCAATCCCATCCACTGGGTAGTCGATGAGCACCAGGCACCGCTTCTGCCGCTTTTGGACGACAACGCTCAGGGAGCACTTCGGGTCCCGACCCAGGCGAATCCACGTGGAGATCCTTCCTGGCGATGTTTTGGGCGTCCACATGGTGGATGGAACAAAGGCAGAAAGGCAATCATCGTTTTTTCAGTGAAAACATGTGAAAACATGAGTTCATCCTGTAAATCCCGGGAGACCATTTGCCGTGCAGAGCCACAACATCGCGCTGGTGCAGGAGCCCTAAGGATTTGGACCGGACCCTCCAAATTTCGGCTTTTCAGGGTACATAGAGGCTTGAACCCCCTGCGAATTGGTCGGGTCCTAGGATCCTGCGGCTTGAACCCCACCGACTTTTCTCTCTTTGGGCGGAGCTCGTGGGTCGACACGGAGCAGCACATTGACCGTTGTTGGTGGACACCGATCGGTCCATTCATAGGGGGGGGGGCGCCATCGGGGCGTCCGCACCTCTGGCTACCTACCCGTCAGCTGGTCCGACCGGTGACGGAGTGGGGAGGGCGTTTCGTGGGTTCCGGTTTTCCTCCGAAACTCCAGATGTCATGCATTCATGGCCCCATGTTATGATGTTCATTCATTGCCCCATTCATGGCCCCATGCTATGTGGGTCACGAATCTGGCTACAGCCCCAGCCCAATCCACGCTGATGAGCTGGACCCACTTGGGTTTGTGTGAAAATAGGAAGACTTCTTCCATGGCCCGGGTCTTAGTCTACCTTTTTCTCTTCCATGGAGTTCGAAAACACTGTACACTGTACCATTTTCTGGGCAAGAGTCACTTCTCAAAACTCGGTTCTAGAGAACCCAATTTCTTGAGCAGTGGCTTTTCGATAAAAGTCAGGTGAAGCCGGTGAAGCCACTCTCAACCCGACACCAGGCCATGCACCTGGCGACGCAAGAGCTGCGAGAGGCGCTCCTGGAGGCGTGAATGAACGGCGGACGAAAGCCTTTGGAAAATCCATTCCTCAGGTCCTGAGAGAGGTCGAGCCATCCCATGTGGGGCCCAACTGTTTCATTTGTTGCTACATGATGAGAGAACGTGTGGGCAGTTCATATGGTTGAAGCAGAATGCCTGTAGACCGTGTTTTCTACAAGGGGCCACCAACTCCACCAACGAACATTGAGTTTCAACAAGGATCACCCAGTGGTGCTGACCCTTCTCTGACCAGCGGTCCATTGCTGGTGATCAACACCGAGCTGGATGGCTACTGGATGGCCAACTTGCAGCATTGTTGTGATCTCAGTGGGAAAATTTTGAATCGATGCAGATTCACCTGACCCGTGGTACATCAACACAACCAACTGCCATCATTGTCAACCTACTTTGGTTTGGGGCTTCCTCTCTTGCGGACACATCCAATCCACCATACGCACCCCTCGGGCTTCATCTGGTTTTGTGTAGGTTTACTTTGAATTGGGGCTGGAAGCACTCCAAGTAGGGCAGCCGACTCAACGGTGGAAGAACTGTTTACAGCACAGACAGATCACGAGTAGAACTCTCGTGTTGCAACTCCAGTTCTACGCCCAGCCCATCACTGAACAACTTCGTCTTGGTTGCCGGGGTGAACTGATTTGGAATAGCTCAGAGATGCTCAGAAACTCAGTACATAATCAGGCCTTCGGTCTTTCCTCCTCTCCACCTCTTCACCCCCCCTCAGAACCGCCTCGGAAACCCAGAGCATCCCAAACAGACGAGCTAGTAGCTCCAAGCGCCCCGAGCTGGTAGCTCCAGGCGACCGAGCTCGCAGTACAGAAGTCCTTTGCCTCTTGGCGACAGAGGAGGACGTGTCCGTGCTCAGAGGTTTCCCCAAAAATTGTCAACCTGGCCAGGGAGACTTATCCATCATCCCCCCTCTCCGCACGGAACTGGTTGTTGAGCTACGAGGAGTGTCACACCACGAGGATCTACGGTCAAGATGATTGATTTGATCATGCTAGAACGACCTCACCTGGAGAGTTGATTTTCATGTGTTGCTGGTCAAATCCAGCAATAATTTCCATGACATGGAGCTAAAGATTGGATTCCTTGGACAGCTAAAACATTTTGTACCACTGACATATTTTGGCTCTCCGCCCTCCGATAGTAGTATTTTGAATGAAGGGGAGGCAGCCGTGACTGATGCCAGAGCTTTTCCCAAACACCAAGTACGATAATAGGGAGGACCACATTCTCCGCGTTTCATCTGCTTCCAGACAGGATCGCTGGTGCTTTTCCTTTCGGGGGTGGCTGAAGTTGCCCCCCCAAACCTGCCAGGGTTTGTATTTCTGTCACCTGGCAATCCTATATAGATTTCGCTTCATAGCTGTGGATGGCTGTTTTGTTCGTGGCACCAAGGTGGACGAACACCGATGTCGCCTTCGGCCGGTGGACGATCACCTGCAGAAGCCTTCCCCACTCAAAACGAACACACCTGGAAGTTCGGTTCATCCGGCCTTATTTTCCAGAGAAAGGTGCGAACGTACAGGACAATCTACAATTTTCAACCATCCGGTATGAGGGAGGTTCGACCAAATTAAACTGACCGCTTGGCTCACATGTTTGTCGTCCTAAACCAAAGCCTCCCAAAAGCTAATTTGAAGTGTGATGCTCCAATCTCCCAGAATCCTACAAACTACGGCAACTTGGTGGATGGGAGGCCACCATGGAGCAACTCATCCAGAAAGACGCGGCGCTCAGCTCGCACCTGCCAAACCACCTCGCCTCCGGGCAGGCGTTTCTTTTTCCGGGTGGGCGAGTTGAAAAAAGCGCGCACCGTTGCTAGAGAGGTCAAGCGATTTGAGGGGTGAGTTCTTGGCGTCTTTTTGATGAGATGGTACATGGTCAAAGCGATTTGGTCGATCAAGTGTGGTGGACAGGTGGGAACCAGGGGCTACAATTAAGAGAGCGGCTAAGGCATGGGAATGAGAATGCCATGGTACAGGGTTTAAGCACTCGTCATAGAAGAAACAGAAAGCCCAATCCAAAGGGTCCACGTGGATAGCCACGAAGCGAAAGATGAGCATTGATCAACCGGTCACAAGGTGGTTGCAAGCACTGAGATGAGATACAATTGATGGAGAAAAAGACCGGGGCAAGATCCGGAGGTTTGCGAACTTGGCCTGTCCAAGTTTGCAAAGACCATGTTGCAGACGCTATGAGTCCAGCTTGGACTTCTGGGATTCCATGCTTCACATCTAAAAAAAGCCGCACCTATCTATAAGCATCCATAAGGTCCTCATAACCCATATGTTTGGCACCAAAGCTGTTATCATGCTTCACACATGACCGTTATGGGAACATCTCGTCCCAGGCACGTCGGATCAGATCCACTGAGCGACCGGGTGGACACCGCGATCGGAATCCGGTTCCGGGTTCGTTGCGGCGGTCCGGTTCCAGCCGAAATTGGCCGAACAACAGTGGGCCATCAGAGGTGAGAAATGGCACCACCCCAAGATGTGTGTTTTTTTTTGGGGGGTCCATCTAAACCAGACTTGGGGGATTGTGCCATCTACTCTGATGGCCCACTGTATATGATCCTCACCCGCTGCAACACCTGGAGCTCCAAAATGATCACGAGAAGGTTTTCTTTTTGGCGATGAAGGCCCCAGTGCAAACATTCCTAGATAGCCTTAGTTTAGTGGTTGCTTAGGGAGGGATATTTTCTTGAACTTTGTAGTAGCAGAGGCATATATGCCACACAAGCTACTCTCTTGAAGCATGGAAGTGAAAACAGTGGTTTTCCACAAGCTATATTCCACATCTATGTTTGTTGGATGGAGGCTATGCAATTTTTCACCCTTAAACGGACATTCAACAAGACCATCTAGCAATCATCTGAATGGTAGAACCACGTGGACACCCAGCTTCCAGCCGCGGCTGCGCGGCAGTGGATTTGGATGGACCGAATCCCTGAACCGGTCAAACCTTCGAGCCACACCTGGACCCCTCGTCGTCGCCCATGCCAAACCCACCTCCGCCCTTGAGCGGCTGGGCGAACTGGCCAGGGCCCGAAGGAGCAGGTCTGCGGAAGTCCGGGTCCACTCGGATTGAGCCTGGACCCTAGGCCAGGAGAGCGGGTGACAGCACGAGGGCGGAGTGCGGGTGGACCTGGGTGGGGACAGGTCGTTGCGTTCGTTCAGTGATTCGCTTATGATCAAGGAACTCAGAGGTATCCATGTAGCCTAATGTAGACTTGCATCAGGTGGCACAAGCCAATGAGGACAAGAGGGGGTGGTGGGTCTACCGCCAGCCCACCCTGGACCCAAGTGGTGCAGAGATGTTAAATGCATCGCAGCGCCTTCGTCGATCGCGCATGTGGATGGGTTGCCACATCCATTCCCATGAGTTCAGACTGATTTTGGGGCACTATCAATACATGAAATGCTCGCCAATAACCATCCGTCTTGAGACACACCCACCCTTGAAAATGCCAAATTGGAGAATTGGCTGCTCGCTCGGAACGGTCAGGCTGCCCTGCAAGCCCACACTACCGAACACGGAGAAGGATGAGGTGCCCTGTGAAGAGGAGCGAACCACCTCGAAATCCAGCAGGCGTGCAGATAACACAGGTGATCATGGGGGTGCAAGACCATCCAGCCAGGCATTGAACATGCATGGGTTGAAGATAACTTCATCAAAGCCAGAGAGTTTACCATTCTGTGGTAGTCCAAACTATTTCTTCATGAGTCCAAATCCCCAGGTCAAGGGCTTGGAGTTAGTTATATCGAACGCATCTATCATATTTTATTATCTGTAGGGCTCCAAGTACCTTCTCAGAAGGTATCTGGACCCTCCAACCCCCCCAAACACCCAAGAAGGTACTTGGAGCCCGGCAATATGTGCGTATACATATGCCTCATATGCCTATATAAAGATACATCCGAGCATGGCAAGCATCGAACCGTTCGCAGTGAAGCGAGCAGTGAAAATGAACATCGCAACTCGAAGAGACCGAGATTCTACCGATTTGCTTGAGATGGATGGCAGGATGGGTGTGGATCATACGGATGGAATCGATTCACCAGGGTGGAGCCCACTCAAACCGAAGAGGTGTTCGCTTGGAAAGCCGGTCCAGCAAGGTGGAGGGAGGCATGTTTTTTCAGGGTTCAATCCGTCACCGTAGTTCTTGCCCCCCAAAAACAAAGACGCGGAGACCGGTCATCTTCGGTCTTTTTTCACCACCTTCTTCTCACCCTGGCCGGTGACTGGATGGTACCCGATGAAGCCGAAGCCAAATGGACAGAAAGAAGAGTTTCTCTGAAGTGTGGCACAGAAAACCTCCTGTACCGTCTGAGATTTCCCAGGAAAACACAAACACACATGGAAGATGGAAGTATATAGAACCATATAGAACTGGAAGTAGAACACATACCTCTGGAAATACATGGAAGATGGAAGTAGAACCTCTGGGTGGTCACGATACCTTTCCTCCACAGGTGGTGTGAGGTGTGACCATCTGACACCACCTGGCCTGGGAGATCCACGGACCCACCCTTCGATGGGGCTGGTTGACAGGCTGGAGATCCCAAGCCCCACCAGCGCCCGGACCCCTACGAGGCCCAGTCGTGCCATGGGGGTCGAGCGGCTCGTGAGGTCGGTGGCATCGGAGTCGAACGGTATTTCTTTTCACCTGCGACTCGCCCGTTTTGGGTCCTTATGCAAGGTCGTAGCAAGAGATTTGTAGATTGAAAGAACTGGAGCTGTGTAAAACTTTTGACACATCAACAGTCCTCGCACTCCAGAAGCCGGGCCCCGGACTCCGGGCCGGAGTAGATGACATGGATGACATTGCTTCCGAAAGCATCTCGAAGGGGTTCCTGGGCTAGATGGAGCGCATAGACTAATAAAAATATATTGGATTATCATACATTTATTTTTACTTTTAGACTTGAAACCACCCTTCCTTTCATATGCTCATCATAAGGATTTATGAGTTTTGGATCACATCAGATATGATATGCACCATATGCTTCCGCATTTTTCTCCAATGCTGGCTGCGGGGGCGCACAACAGCCGTGGACGTTGATGCTTGGAGATCGTTCCTGTTGGGTTTGCACACGCTGCACACACGAAATGAAAGCGCTGTGTGGCGCTCCAAAAGCAGGCCAACGCCCGGTTCGACCCGACAGTTGGGGTTCGACTCGACTGAATTTGACTACGAAGGACCTGAACAGAAGGAAAGGACAGGGCAGGGAAGGAAAGGGAGGTTTTGACTGCTGGGGTCCCTTGCGCCTTGGAGCATGGCATGCATGGTGCATTGTCACCTGCATAGGGAACTGGTGTGATATCTTCTCCTGTGCATGGTACTGTACTTGTTTCACTGATTGTGAAGTGATTCACTTTCACCACTCGGATTGCTTGGCATGCTTGGTATGCTGCTTCACCGCGGATTTCAGTGGCATGTCTTCGCGGATTTCTGCTTATGGAGTGGACGTTTCAACCATTTCTGGATTGGTACCCTTTCCCACTTCGCTACTGAAAGCTGGTGAAGTCGTGTGTTCCCATCGTAGTAGTCCTGTTCCGTGTTTTCTCCTGCTTCGGTGCATCGGCGGTTTCGCATGCGAAAGCCAAGGCTCGATTTCGGTCTTTCACTTAATTATGTATCATCTCCTTGTGTATAAAACACATTAAAACACTATAGAGTTATGTATAATTTGAGTTATATAAAACGATATACACTAGTTTAAAACCAAAAAACATAGAACATGTACCTGTTGTTCCTCTTTCGGTGAGCCGGTGAGCCGCTTTCTTTCGAAGATTTTTAAAGGCATGCCGTGAAAGTTTGACCGAGCCGCGAACAGCTCTCCGCCATCGGCAGGTTTGAGGCCGGTGGGCCAAGGATGGAAGGTACTTCATAGAGCGGCTCGGCGGGTTTTTTTGGTGCGAACGGGACGGAGAGACTGACCAGCTTTCTTTGAGAACAGCCTGGCAGGCGTGGAAAAAAGGAACGATCAGATCTTTCACAGGTGGACCGTTTTGTTGGAAGAGCCGGATCGGCGATCTTTGATTGGTTGGAGAACGAACGAATGAACGAACGAAGGGAAGGGCTCAACCTGCACCACGACTTGGATCCAAGGAGTTGGAGTGAAGGGAGTGAAGGGAGTGAATCCATCCTCCACCGCACCGAGCATGAGAACTTCTAGTGGGAGGAACTGAACTCATGGCCTTGGCCTTGTACTATGGCCTTGTGTTGATGTGGTTGATTTGGAAGGGGTCTCCCCCTCCCGCCGGAGCTTCGTGAACAACGACCCCGGTACCTCGGTACCTGGAGTACGCACCGACCCGCTCCGGCCGCTTTGGTCCTGCTCCGGTCAGACATCACGTAATGGGATGGCCAACGCTTTCGCGTGCTTGAACGCTACCTTCTATAAGTCACTTAGGATGGGGGAGTCCTTTCCTCCGATTGCGTCAAACAGATGAGCACGTGGCTTTGGTCCAAACGTCCGTTCGCAGCATTCCCAACCACCGGAATGACGACATGAACAGGATTGGGCCCCCTCCAGCGGATCAGGCCACTTGTTTCCTTTTCGCATGAGCTTCCACACGACGCCCCGACGATCCCTGCGTTCGGTGCTCCGTGGATGCTTCAGGAGATCGTGACATGAGCGCACGATCCTGTCGGCTGACCTTTCAAGACCTGGCTGGGCGGGGATCACTGTTTTTTCGCGACAAAAAGAAGTGCCTCGTCAAATCAGCGGGGTTTGGCCGGACCTGAAACGGAACAGGGAGCGAACTTGGACCCAAGCAGGACATCCTGGCCAGCCTGGACGCGAAAATCTGCCCGGTTCCCTCAAGTTCCCGAGAGGGAGTCCAGACCCCAGAGGATTCGGAGAATCTCCAGAGGATTCAGATCCAGGGTCACAGCGGTTCGAATCCCATCAATTATGTGAGAACTCATGTGAGAACTCATGCACACACGCCATTGTCCACTGCTCACTGGCATGGGTTGCGGACCATTGTCTGGTTGGGTGATGTCAGTCTCATTTTCTGTGGAGGGGTGTGTGAACCTTCCAACCATCCTGGAACGAACATGAACCAATCTGAAAACAACAGTTTCCGGCTTTTGGATTGTCCCATATTGCATCTATTCCAGATAACTCTATACACTAGCCTTCAAAGACCATTGAAAAGAATGGTTGACCTGGCTTTGTAATGTAAAATCCTTAGTACAGCAACGGTTCTTTGGGATTCAGACCATTGAAACAATGTTTATTCGAATCTGATGATATAGGTTACCACCCTGATCCATGGATGGTGGATTTACTACCCTCATTCGAAGCAGCACGAATTAGCCATGTTCCACTAACCCTGTGTCGGTGGTATGAGCGACATTTGGCCAGCAACATGCATATAGGGCCCCGGTAGGTTCGAGTCTGGCCACACCTCGGACGACTTGGAAGGTGCCATCATTTTGTCATCATGAGGAAGGCACTTCCAACATTTCAACTGCTCTTCGAAGATTTTGAAGACTCGGGCTGGGCCAAGCCCAGGTCCTTGTGCTTCAGGTGCCTCTGCAGCTGCAGTTGGATGGAACAAGCTGAAGAAACGAAACACCTTTCCACTCACTGGTCACTCTCTGTAGATTCTGTAGATCTGTGAGTTGTTAAGATCATCCCAGACCTGGGCTTCTGACATAGAGAAACTCATCGAAAAAAGAAACACCTTTTTGGGCGCTATGAATACTAGGTTGTTTGTTCAGGGAGGGTCGATGGTTGGGCTTCCTCGGTTTGGAAGGCAGAAGGGCCTTGAAAGGTTTGGTCTTCCCTGATCGAAACGAGCCCTCGGAATCGGTTCTCTGGTGCCCTTGCCTCTTCAGCCTTTGTTGTCACAGCAAAGCAATTCAACATACTCAAGCGTCAGAGCTGTTGCCCGCAAGTTCCGCTTTTGGAAGGGGTTTGGATTGGGACAGGGTCTGGCCGCAGTTCTGCACCGCATCTCGCAGGGTCTGGGCCAATTCGGCCAATTCTGCGACGCCCAGCCTAGTGGCCAGCCTATGTACCCCGGCTTCCAAGCTTTCTGCTCTTTGGGACGAGGACATTCGCCTTCCAAGGGGTCATTGTCCACTTCCTCTGGATGCTTGGAGGTAGGGTCTATATCAGGAGATGTTCCTGGACCAATCTAGCAAAGTAGATATGTGGGAGGTTCGAGCTTTTTGACTGGATCCTACCCCCTCTGTAAACAGTTTGTGAAAGCTGCCGTGGGTTTTCAGCCGTTTTGAGTGCTGAAAACGTCGCACAGTCATGGCGAGTTGTGGTGGGCTTTCTCAAGACCTACTGTAAACTAAAGAACGATCCCACCACTGGGTCGCACGACAGACAAAAGGACGGGACAAAATAGCAAACAAACGACTCCCAACTCGTCTTCCATGGTCCTTTCCGTCCAAACCGTTTTTGTTTCTTCCCACGTCCTCTCCGACGGCGGCTGCAGACGGTGCACGGTGCCGGGCGGTGCCGCAGTGAGAAAGTGACCCGGTCAGCGGGCTGCGAAATGGGTTGTGTTGGGATGTGGGGATGCAGGGGTGCAGTGTTAGGGCGGAAAAGGGGTGGTTTCTCAGCACTTGATGACTTGATGGCAAACACCTCTATGATGAAACGTGCACAAACTGTAAACTCACATGCTTTCGCGAAGGCCAAAACGGAGGTCGCGGAAGGTTTGCGAGCGCCCCGCGAAAGCAAACCAGGATTACACGGTATACGACAGAAAAGTATAGGCGGTTTGAAGCCGCTCACATATTTTTGCCAGGTTCTTGAGAGTCTGGAGTTGGTTCCCAAGAGAACTTAGAAAACAGGCAACATAAAGAATTTCACTGCCAGGACCTCTCCTTTTTCAAGGTGACTTGCAAATCCTGAAAAGGTCAATGAGAAGGTCCTGGGCATTGGGGCATCGCGGGTTCCGCCCTTCTTTCTGTCCACGCCCCGACCTTTGCGTAGATCAGCCGGTGTTTTCGATGCAGCCGGTTGATGGGGCACCGCAGATGGGGCACAGACTTCACTGAAACATCCACATTGGGACGGCCAGACTTCAGCCAACCCCAAAAGAGCTGAAAATCAAGTACTTCTTCCAGCATATCCGGCTTTGTGACCACTTATTCAAAGGCCTGTTTCAGACGGAGCGGTCATGTTGGTGGATCGGACCATTTTCGGGGTGACATGCACCTTCTTCCCCTAGGCTTGCTGGCCCACCATTTAGTTCGAATCCCAGGTTAACGATCATTTCCCAATTTTATGATTGGAAGGCTAGGGTTCTTGTTGCCGAATGACCATGTTCCAGGGGATTGAGATCACGTGGATCATCCATGTGACCCATGTGTTCGGAGTGTCATGACCATGACTGGAGCTGGGTTCCTGAATCTTTACGCTCGCAGTTTTTAGGTCAGAGATGGAGCTGGGGGAGACGGTATATCAAACGAAGGTCTCAGCCCTCCTGTGTCCAAACAGTGATATCACTTTGAGGAGCAGCAACTTGTATAGTCTTACAACATCACTGCTTCAACAACATCAAAGGTCTTAAACACTGATGTGGGCTTCTATCCTTCGCAGCTCACAGCAGCATGAGTCAGCATGAGATGACAGACAGACAACAGATGACAGCAGACTCGGTCCCTCTTCTAGATCCTTCGCTTGCAGCCGCTTTACCAAATTTTTGTGTCTTCCTCGAGGCCATGAGCCATGTTGCAGCCGGCAGCAGTTCTCGCAGTCTTCCCTCTTCCAGTGTCTCCAGCCACTTGGCTTCGACCGGATCGAGGAAGATCGAAGTCTTCGACTGGAGTGGATGGCGGGTCGGTCACGTGAGAGTGGGTCGATGCGTTGGGCAGTCAGTCTCCAAGCTCCTCAAGAACGGACAACATGATTCACCCTCCCTGCCGAAGTTCACGTCTCCCAACATCATGCGGACGCTCTTTTGCGGACGCGCCGCATCGCCGCCATCCGCAGGGCATGAAGACAGCGGCATCGCGGCGGGTGAGCCCGTACGAGACATCTCCAGCATCACGACTGGATGGGACCGTGGCATCTCTGGACAAAGCGATGTCTCTCGAAGGCGTGCCAGTCAGGCAGCCCAGGCAGGGGGTCTTTTGTTCGGAAACGGCGAGAATAAGTTTTTGAGGAGTGAAAGGAGAGTTGAACTTGTTGAGCTGAAAGAGGAGCTCATCTGAGCCTTTCCAAGCCTTCTAATTTTGGGTGCTCTTCTAGGTTCTTTGTCCGCATTTGCAGCAACAAGGCCATTTGTTGGGGGCTTAATGTGGTGGTGCTTTCAGGTGTTTTGAAGAGGACCTGTTTTGATCCAGGATCCGTTTTCAGTATGTCAACCAGGACCCCACAAGCAAGGACCTACCAGTGTTGCCAGGATTTCTCCTACCAGGTGTGGTGTTCATTTTTCCGCCCTTTGAAGCATCCCAAAGCGCTCAAATACATGAAGCACGCCCCTGGTTTCTTGGTCAGTTTTCAAGACTTGTTGAAAATAGCTGCTGTCACACAACAGCGACCCATACGTCAACACTAGCACTCAAACGTGTGTAAACTGCGCATAAGTTAGTAAGCTGCGCGCAAGCTGTGGGTAAACAAAAGTTTAATGCTGCCTAAAAAGAAGCCATTTGGTGATTTGGCAAGGAAACAGCATTCAACCATTCAATGAGTGGAACTATGAACTATTCAACTTATTCAGAGCACACGGATCAGCGTTGCAAACGACCCTCCTTCCTGGCACATAAGCTGCGGCTGTGCGGAAAGCAAACACGTAAGCGCCTCCAAAGCACCCCCTCATGCATCGGCAAACACTCATGCATCGGCGTAAGCACAGTGTACGTACCACAGATTCTTCCGGTCCTTGTGAGACTTTTCATGACCTTCTTGACTGTCCTCAGGCGTACTCTTAGACCCTGAGTCCTTTTGGTGAAGAAGTGATTTCTTATTACTAAACCACGAATAAGGTTAAACCCTTAGCAAAGGACCTATAGACAGTCAAGCCTTTGGCCCACGCTCACAGGTGGCGATGGGCAATGATTTCATCCGCGCGCAATCGCCGCCCAGCCATGATTTCATGCCCCGCGCGCGTGTTCGCGGCGTGAAGCCCGTCATGAAGCCTCAGGTGTTTACTCTTAGTGAATGCCCTCCCCACTGGATGGACACAAAGGAGTGAGCGGGTCAGTCGCCATCCTATCAAATCAATTCCATGGTATTCCATGTATCTCTTGAGCGGTCCCTATCTGCCTCACAGATATATCACAGTCTATATCATACCTTGGATTTGCCAATGGAAATCCTCACATCTGCAGAATCGACCGTGGAATGTCTTGTGCCGTTGCAACTATCTTGACGGAGGGAGAGCCTGGTACTTTCCGGGGCAAGGGAGAGGTTGCGTAACAAGGCACCTTACTACTATTAACAAGGGCAGCGCTACTAGTAACAAGTGCATTACTACTAGCAGCAAATATGTATTTGCAATGCCCTTGTTCCAGAGGTTTCTCGAAGCGCTTCGCAACAGCTTCGCAGTTTTCGATCATACACGAGGTCGATGTGAAGAAACGGGCTTCCAGCTATAGGGTCTTTAGAATCTTCACTTTGTAAAGATTCTCACTCGTCTTGGGTGGCCATCAACCACCATCCACTAGAATCGTTCGAATCCAGTGGCACGACCGGTCCCAACAAGGCTCTGCGACTTGGCCCCCCCCCACAGCACCTTCCTGCTTCGAACCAAAAGGACCAACACAATTCTGTGACCTTCGGCCATTGGGTCTAGCAGCCGCAGCGACCGGGGTCGCTGCGTCCCAAAACCAACAGCGTTCCTGAGAGTGGACCGAGACTAGACCGTCCAGTGCGACGCCCCCGGGCTGGACCGCACTCTGACGAACACATCACACGGTTACGTGGATGGCATGGGCCCTCGGAAGACTTTCCTATCCACCAGAACCCCAACTGCGACGCCCGGTCGCCCTGGACCTGGGGTCGTGGACGCCTCGACGTCTGCGGCCGAGGTATGAGAAGTATGCGGCCGGCCTTTGCGGCTCCGACAGCTTGCGACGCCTCGTCAAGAGACGCTCGAAGATCGATCGACCGCGGCAGTCGACCGGGTGGGTGCATCGCTACTAGCAAAGGTCATCGCTACGTTACAAGAAGCTACTAAGGGCGATGCACCTTGCTACTAGTAGCTTCTTGCTACTAAAGAGGGTTCGGTCTGTGTCAGACAGGCAGTGAAAGAAGGCAGATGACTCAACCGTCACTGGAGTTTGGCTACGTACCCAGCTTCCAGGAAGGCCTTGGGCCTTCGTGTACACTTGCAATTGGGCTTCCGTCACTGTGGATTAGCATATTTCCAGTCACCTGATGTGACTAAAGTGATGAAAAGAACACTTTTAGTGAGGTACTAAAGTCACCTGACTAATGTCACCTACTTGTTGTACTACATACATAGTACTTATTTCCATACTTTGATGGACTCCTCGAAACATGACGGAACCGTACAAAGAAGACTTGTGTTGCATTTCCTGTTTTCTTTTTTGATCCTTTTTGATGTCAGGGTCTGTCGGGCAACCGACGTCAATAGACGTCCTCAGTAGACGGCAGAGCGAGACCTGGATGCTAGGAGGCACCTCATTTCTTGGTGCCACACGTGATTCAAGGCCCTTGCAGTTGGGGTTCAATGATTTGTCATGAATTATGAACATCAGATGACTCCACGTTGGGTGAAACCACCAAGGAGTTCTAGGATGTTCTAGGTATAGAGTCTAGAGATGTCTAGAGTGTATGCTATCCCTAGGACTCCAATCACCATTTTGGGTCCTTACCGAAGCACCAGTCATTCAGTGTATGTGTATGCTATTCTTCGGTGTGGCCGGCTTCGAAACCCAGTAGAAACTCCAGCGCGAGGTCAGCAGGTGAGTCATCTAATGGCAGTGGTGATCATGGTGGATGGCTTCTGCAATCTCAGCTGCCAGAAACGCTTTCATTTCCGTTTTTTAAACGCTGTTGCCGGGGTCGTTGGGTTTTTGGCTCGTGAGCGGAACAAATGAAAGCGACTCCAGAGGTGTGGTTAGCGGTTAGCGTTTTTGCTTACAACAACATTCTCCCGGCGAGTTGGTTGTTTGTGTGGCCAGCATCGCCCCCTGTTTTTGGACAGCACTGGACACACCTGCTAGTTGGAGCATTTTACACCCTGGAAGACTCACATGGGCCAACGTGGATGGCCTGGCCCCGAGTTCGGAAGACCATGAACTCCACAAAGCAAACAGGTGGTGAACTCCACCTAACCATGTTAGTTTTCGGGAGTGTATTTGAAAGAACTCATACCAGGACCCGACTCTACAGGTCCCCAATGGTTCGACCTGTTAGGGTCCAACAACCCTCAACTAACAGCCTGGCGAGGAGGGTGCTGGTACTCCATTGGCTTGGTCCAATACTTTTTCATCGCTGTCTCGCAGGTGGACAGTCCTGGGTAGACGTGTTTTTGCACTCCTCAAGCCCCGAGAGAGGTAGACCTGGGCGCTCTCAGAGGTCCAAATCAATGTGTATGTTGTAGGTTGGGCGTGGCTGGTGTCGGCTGGGACAAGTGTGTATCAAACTTAGGGAGATCTCGCGCTGCCGCGACCAGATCATTCCAGGCATTTGCTATGATATCGACTATCGTGCTGTTGACCTCACCACACCCTCGCTGGTCTTGACCATCTCCTACCTTTGCTTAGCCATCTATAGCATCGAATTCATCTTGAACCTCTGCATCCTCGGGGCCTCTTGGACTTCTGCAGAAAGAAGTGTTTGTTTTTTCTTCCGGTCCAACTGACTTCTTCCACTTGTGGACGGGGTCTTAAGAACCGACTTTCTGGAACACGAGCGAGGTTTCAGTACTCCGAGAGCACATGGTGAAGTTGGACCTATTTTTGATCCTTTGCGGCTATGGCGAACTGGCCTCCGAATGGGTGATGTCGGAGGGGAACATCACTGGCCTCGGCTTGCTGAGGTGGAGGGCTGTGCAACAAGTCGGTGGTTTTCTCGGTTGCAGCCAGGGATGTTGGCCGGGAGGGATGTGGAGAGTCAATGGATGGTGGAGGTGTGCGATGGATGGTGGAGTAGATACAAATTCGATGGTTTGAGGACGCGCGCGGCCCCACCAAACGCCCTCCCAGGGATGCAAATCCACCAAACGCCCGACGGAGGACGCCGATCCCTGTGTTGATGCTGATGATGGAGACGGTGTTAGGGTTGCTGAAAAGGTTGAGCGTCTCCGAGTTTTCCGCCCGTGGGGTGAACACTGCCCGAAGAACTGCTGATCTGCCGAAGAACTCAGCTGATCTTTTGAGCCACGTCGCTGCCCAAAATACGTGGCGACCTGACAAAAGATTCCTCATATGTTAACACATATATATGTTACATATAAAAATATATAAATATATAAACACTCTGTCGTATTCCCATGTTCATCTTTATGCCCCGACTTTCTTACAGTTCTGTCTATTCCAGGAAAACCCAGACATCATTTCACCTTGCGCTTGCCTGGGAAATTGAACTTCAAGTGTTGAAACCGTTTCCCGATTCCCCTGACTTCTGACTGACCTAAGCCACAGTGTTTTGATTTTGTAGAGCTGGTACCCAAACCTGCATGGCTTTGCGTCTTCTCACATTCTTGGCTTTTTCGGTGAACACCGGCGAAGACCCGCAGGATCCTTCGCTTGGTGCGGGTCTTTCGCTTGCTGAAGCTCTTGCGAAATGTGAACGCCTTACGCGAGCTTTCGAAACTGGTGAAGATGATGTCCACCTGCCTGAAGGCTGGAGATGAAACGCCGGCTGGAGAAAGATCAGCGTTGTTGCTCGCAACCCGTTTGATGTCGTTGCGTGTTCCGACATGATCTGAGGAGGCCGCCCAACCAAACAAGTCGGATTCGCAAGCTGCCCTGAATCAGGCGCTGTTTTGGTCATTCTGCTTCTGCTTCATGGTGATGACCGTGTGGTCCATGTTGCTGGTGGAGGTGGTGCACCCGCTGGTGAAAGAGCTGGACATTGCTGAGTGCAGCGACTGCGCGTGGGGGACCACCTCGGTGATGGGTGCCAATTTGTTGCTCTTCAAGACCGTCATTGCCGGGGATTCCTGGGGGGACATGGCTGTCCCTGTGATTGAAGCGCATTGGTATACTTCCTTTGTCTTTGTGGGCTCGTACCTGACCATCGTCTTTGGAGTTTTAAACCTGGTTGTTGCAGTAGTGGAAGCTTTGCTTGAATTCAGTATCTGGAAATATGGCATTTTTCCCATACTTGGACATGAAGAACTCGTCATGCTTCTTGTTCAACCTTTGCATTGGCATTAGCAGCTTTTGGTGTTTTGATAAACCATCGTTTTGCGATGTGTCATGCTAGCTGATCGTGGGAGGGCCGCATCATCATATAGACAATATGTGACGTGTGTGTAGTTTCAACCTTAGGTATCGCATGTCTTGATATGTTGGGGCCAGAAATTGTTCCCTCCCGACATGTGAAAATATGCCTCGTTCTCCCAAAACTTGCTCCATGCCCCGCACTGCTGTTTCGCTTGCAAGTAAACGTATATGTGTAACAACATGTAATCAATACGCTTGGCGCTGAAGACCGCCAACGACAGGGATTTTCTTTGCGAATGACACTCGAGCTTGTGTAGCCAAGGCAGAGGGACATAGAGGAAGAGAGAGAGGAAGAGAGCGAGAGAGAGGGAGAGACGTAGATGTGACATGGCAAGGTCTTTGTACAAGAGAGAGAGAGAGAGAGAATGATCTGAGGCCCCTTGAGTTTTCAAGAGGAAAGCACAAAGAGCTGTGCACATACAAACAGTATTCAGTTTAACGTGGCCGCGACAGCAGTGAACAGAGCAGTGATCCTGGCAACAATGTCAGGCGAAGAGAACAAGCTATGACCCCAGTATGCTGGGGCAGAGCAACGGCACGAACAGCAACACGACCAGGGCAGTTTGACTTGCATGACCCGGGGCACAGGCAGGACAAACAAGGACTAAGGTCAATATGCAGATATATATATATATAACTCGATGGTCCATTCTTCTGTGAGTATGGCACCTCCAAAGAACGGACACTCACAGGGTACATGGGTCTGGAGAATACACGATGCAAGAGCTCCCACACTAGGCAGAGCCAGCAAAATCACATTTCACCTGTGTATCCTGGTTGCAGCATCTACAAGAGAGGAAAGAGGCACGTGGATACAACTGAGCGCAGACATGCAATTCTGAACAGAAACAGGCCTCGAGATCTTCTGTGAATTCCGCTGAAGGCGCAGGCGTCCGGTATGCAGTTCAAACATTTAACCAACAAGGGTTGCTGTGGCGCCCATGAGGTCTAGTAGCGATGCTATTTGCTCCTAGTAGCTTCTTGCTCCTAGTAGTAGGGCCACGAGCCCCTAGTAGCGTCCTTGCTCCTAGATGCAAGTGGCTGATTGGAGATCTGTGTTTTTTCATGACTCCCCTGGGCCGGACCAGACAGGAGCCTGACCCAAATCCTTCCCGCTTGTGAAAGACCGCACCGCGAGTCTGCGAATCCCTGTTCAAATAGAGGGGCTATGAGACATGTTGCACATGTTAGTTATTCGAAGCCTTTTGTCACCATCACGGTGTCTTTTTTTGTTGGTTTTATCTGGGCTATTGTATGGTTGCAAACGTGCCAGACTTCAAGCTTTGATCGCGCGCAGGCCATCCGAGGCAATGTATATAAGCATATCAAAGCATATCTACCGTCCATATAGACTTTTGTGACCTCAAAATTCCGTTGAAATGGCATCACCATATAAAAGGTAGGTCCGGTAGGTAGTCATGCTTTGGCAAAATCTTACCGTCCTCGTAACCCCTTTGGCTCACAGGGAAAGCCAACGACAAATGCACCCATTTGACGCTCATAGTCTCTGTGGTTTTTTTGTTGGCCATGACTGAGCTTTGCTGTTTATTCTTGGGCCCATGTTGGGCCTAACTTAGGCCGAACTCGGTATGGGTTCCCTTTGACGTCGTTGTTTTCTCCCAAGTCCTTCAAACGGGTAAAAGCGGAGGGTTTTAAGCCATGCAGGTGAGTCCCCCTTTCGAATCGTGGTCCACACGATCCGACGCGCCGCCCCACATCACGCTTCACACATTTGGCGCGGGCAAATTACAGTTTCTTTCCGCATAATATGTTTAAGATTGTTGAATTATGCCTTCAACTGACTTAGTTCTTTAATGTATAGCTAGTTAAATACAGTGCTAGCACAACATACATGTAATATATATATATATAATACAATAACCGACATCGATTTGATTGATTAATTGATTGATTGATTGATGGATGGATTTGTTGTGTGGTTGGTTGGTTGGTTGGTTGTCCACTAACGGACGGACGGACGGACGGACGGACCGACTGACTGACCGACTGACCGACTGACCGACTACCTCCCTCGCTCGCTTGCTCACTCACGCACGCACTCAGCCACACACCCACTCACGCACTCACTCACTCACTGATTGATTGGTTGACTGCTTGATTGATTGAATTGAAGCTGCAGTTTATATAACTCCAAATTGACATTGAAGCTGAACTGAGTTGGTTGAGTTGAATGAGTGATTTGTTTTGCGATGAGCCAAGGTAGACACCTTTGCCGACGCTCGCGAGCATGATATGGTGAACTTGGCTGAGGAGATGGAGCGCGACCTGGAGAGTGACCAGAGCCTCGGTGGGTCGGTGGCGAGCCCAATGGCAATATGGCTTGGTGGCGCGTGAAACACTCAGATGGGGCTGGTATTAGGGACATCACATGTATATCCCCGTTGGTTTCCAGGAAAGTGAGCAGCGTTAATTAAGAAGATGCTTTTGGATGTATGATCTGTGCACAACACGTTTTTAGATGGTCGTTGCAATTATGATCATTTCTTGTTTGCCTCCTCATGTGTTGAAACCGGGATCTAACCCGGTCGTATTTCGATCCTTCATTTTTCTGAAGGAACATGCGCCCCAGCCCTTGCGTTGGGGTCCTTATTTGGACCGCACCCTCAAAGGGTCAAACATCATGTCCAAAACGAGGTTAACCGAGTGTTCGAGGAAACTCTACCATCCAATGACTGCCCCATGCAGATCGGTAGATGGTGTAGGGTGCTCCAACCAGGATTTTGGGTGGTTGGATCAGACGCTTTTTGGCCCTTTTGAATCGAGGTAGATCCAACTGCCGGGCAGTGCAGGAAACACGGTCACCGTGTGGTGTTTAGGAGGGCGGGGAAAGGTTGCCTCATGCCTTTTCATACAACCTCAAGGTCCTCTCTATTCATAAAAGGCGTTACAATTAAAAGGACCTCTGATAGGACCTTCGAGCTAGGACCTTTGAGCTGGTTCTGCAAGATTTGTTTTGGTGCGACGTGCACGTGGTATCTCAGCATGAACCAAGTACCTTAGAAGATCTCTATTAAAAAGTCCTGGTACCAGATTCTTTGACATATCAATCCCGCTCAGCAGTCCTCTTGGACATTTGAGAACGGCAAATCCGAGGGCGAACCGTTTAGCACCGTCCAACAAACCAAATTGTTTCTCTGAAGATCAAAGAGGCGCACAAGCTGAGCCAAACCCATCCAATCCAATCAATATAACCATTATCAGGAGAGAGATGAGTGCATTATCAATATAACGCCCTGCAGAATGGATCATTTCCCCAGCCAGGAAGTACCTGCAAAAGATCTTTGAGGAGATTGACAAAGATGGCACCGGGGAGTTGAGCTACGCTCAACTTCTACAAGGACCACCGGCCGTCGCTCGCTTGATCACCACTTCCAGACCGCCAGGTCACGGGACCCAGGGCTCCTATCCGGAGTCCCCCCAAAAGCATGGTAAAGGTCCACCCAGCTGGGCTTAGCCATTGAAACCACATGTTCTTCTTCCAAAGTTCCACACCTGATATTGGCGACACAATCAACTGTTTTTGACCGAACCGAAGGTAGCTTGCGTTGATACTTCCCATATCTTCCCATCACATTTTCCGTGTTTTGGAGGTGTTGGACACTTCAAGAGAGCTACAACTACAATAGACTTTCCTATGCCCGCAGGTCAGTTGGACCTTGCTTTACTAGAGTTGATCATACCTCAATCAGGTAAAGGACCCGGCTTGACCCGGGGCATTGTAGGGTATAGGTCATCCTGTCGGAATGCCACAAAGTCCTACAATGCGCGCACTGCACGAAGTAGCCCCTCTTTTGAGCGTAACAAATCTCATTTGTGTGCAATAACATTTGCTTAAACCTGGCGGTGTGGTCGATTGAGTTGTGACTTCCCCCTGTCCATTTTGGTTCAAGTGCCCAATGGGCATTTTGTTTGGTGTGTGGTTGGTGGTGCCGTGCCTGGTGAGCCCACAAGGCCGTGCAGGCCTTTGAGGTCACTGCGGCCCCATAGACTTTTCGGGCCTTTGCGGCGCTGGATGACAACCGCCGTGGAGCTCGCAGGCATCACCAGCCTTGACGAGGCAAAGCGATGGGCTGGCTCTCGTGACCCTGCGTGGTCTGCCTGGCAGGCCGCTGTTGGTCAGGCTCCCAACCTACGTGTCTTGGCAAGCATAGCGCCCAGTGCCTTCCGAGAAACTTGGTCCTTGGTGTGAATCGCCTCCAGTAGCCCTCGCAAGCTGAGTGTGGAGGCCATTCACTTGGCGTTGGCTCGGAGAAGCTTATGGCATGGAGGACATAGACCCTCTTTCAGATCATCCCCCTCTGGTACTGATGCAGGCACAGCTACGAGGCCTACCGCCATCATGCCGAGGTTACAGGTGCGGATCCACTGGCTCTGCATCGTCGAAAGCCCTTACGCAGACTTCAGTGTCCTTACGCCCTTGGACGCTGAGTTCTAAAGCAGATGAAAGCAAAGTCTGGCTCTTGCAACATCCACGGTTCTGTTCAGAGCTCTGGACATTCCGGGACCTCCGTCCTTCGACGCGTGGGCTGCTTGCTGGAAGGTGTACTGGTCTGCACTTTTCATGTTGAGGTACGACTTGGAGCCGCTTGCTTCAAAGAGTGCTACGAGAGGATTGCAAGCCGAACGCAGAGTTTCCGGAGACGTGGCACTTGTTGATGCAGGCAGAGGACAGGTGTCGTTCGGAGATGTTCGAAAGCAGTGGATGGGAAACTCCGAATGGGATTGGACTTCGTGGCAGCAACGCCCTGGATGTCCCAAGCAGATCTGGCCCTTAAGTGTCCCACTCCTGCTGCGACCAACTCTGTCATCTCTCTCAAGACTCCTTCTATCTCCTGAAAAGACTCAGAAGTTGTTTGAACTGTTTGCCGGGATTCTCCAAGACATGTCGGTTTTTTTAGATGGCGGGCGTCATGGGATGGGTCAGGAAACTGATCCCGTGGTAAGGCCGTGGCTCTGTGGGGGGCACTGAACATCGTCGGCTCGACCCATCGCTGGACGTTCTGGAAACAAGTGTCGCGGGCCATCCAAGGGTTGCGTGATGTGAAATTGGATTCCCAGCCAACAAGTGCCGGTTGCCTGTCAAAGACTTACAGGTTTTGTGAGCGCTTCCCATGTGTGAGCTCTGGACGGACGCGTTCAACAGGGCTCCGTGCTTACATGTGCTTTAGAGCCAAACCAGCAGGTATTTCATGTGCCGGCTCAGCGGGCAAGATGACTGGTGGGTGGACCAGAGCGTTTGCAACGACCAATGCGAGTAAGCAAGATGGCCAGGTGCAGTTATTAACTCCATCGAGGCCGAGACAACCGGCCAAGAGCAAGACCAACCCTCCACTACCGAGGCGGCTCTCCAGAACCCAGACGCCGAGTTGAGGCGCATGCGGGGCACCGTCCGCAACACCGTCGAGAGGCCCAGCATGGGCGACGAAATGCGGGCTCTTCCAAGAATGTCACCTATGCGGACGAAAGTGACTTGAACGAGCTCACACTGTTTGACATGTGTTTTGCTTGCACGAGCAAGTTGGAGATTGGCTCGAAGGCATGTGAGGTGTTGGATCGCGTGGTTTGTCTTCAATGAACAGGAATTCTGGCGGCGGGTGTGAGGCGCGAGGGAAACGCGTGAGCCCCAGTTCAATAAGGTGTCAACCATGCTTCCTTTTCTTCCACAATCTTGAGAGCTAAACATGTGCGCTCTCTTGCATTGCAATTGAAAGGGTTGGCAGGGTGGGGGATGTTTAAGCTAGCATGTATTTGCGTAACAAACCTTACCTTATTTGTGTGTAGTAACAGTTTCTTCAGCCTGGCGGTGTGGTCAATTGATTGAGTTGTGACTTCCCCTGTCCACTTTGGCTCACGTCAAATCCCCAATGGACAGGTGGGAAGTGCCAGCCTCCTCAAAACACCCCCCCACACCTGAGTGGTATGTTCCACCATTTTGAGAGCTAAAGCATGTGAGTTCTCTTGCATTGCGACTGAAAGGCCTGGCAGAGTGGTGGATGATTAAGCTTGCGTGTTAGTACGGAAAAGGCACCGGTCCCGAAAAAAGACCGGAAGACCCGCCCGCTAGGTGACCACAGGCACCCCAAGAGTAAGAAAGCTTAGCAGGCTCAGCTCTAGAAAACCTTCAGGAGCTCGGAAGAACCCGGAGTTCCAAAGCCGCCTGCGGGTCATGGATATTGACGAAGGCCGTAAACTTGGCCTGGACGCGTGCGGCGCTGGGGTGCGAGGGGTTCCAATGTTCTTGAAACCTCGAACCCTACCGTTCTGTCTTCGCGGAAGAAACAATTTTCTTTTGGGAGGCGTCGGTCGAATGCTTACTGATTTTTGGGATCTCACGCGACTTAGGGGGCGAGAAGTTGGACTTTAGGGGAGTTAAGCCTTAAGCCAAAGCAAAGGGCATGGTTCAGAGAAACAATTGGCTACCTGAACTGATCAGCAACATCACAGGCATGGGGGGTACGTTGAAATCGTTTGGAGCAGTCATCACACCCTTTGATCCCTTTATTGGGAGGCCGTGTTTGTTGAAAGTCGACGAGCTGATGCAGAGCGTACCTGGTGTTTTCACACCCCGCTGCATCGTCGACGGGGAAGTCGTTCAGTCGACGCAGCGACAGCGGAGCGACCGCGGCTCCACCGGTGGGCCGGGCGCTCCGCAGGTGACTTGCGTGAGCTCTTTATGATGATCGACGTGGATGGCAACGGCACGATCGAGGCGAGGAGGAGGGTTTCCTCCTTGGTGGCGGACGGAGCGGTGGCTGTCGACCTAGCCCCCTTTTTGGTTTGGAAAAGCTAGGACTCAGGCAAAACGATAAGGAGTAATTGTTTTGCCCCCCAGTGAAATTGCAGTGGTTTTTTCAAAGAAGAAAGCCACACGGGGCCGGGCAATTGAACCGTTGACCTGGCCCTCAGTCTTTTTGTACAAGGCAACCCTGAGATGGAAATGAAAGCAAGTGACAGGAAAATTAAGCGCAAATGAAAAGGTGCCCCCTCAAATGAGTTTTGCGCTTGTAATTTTGGACACGGGTGCAGAAAAAGGGAGACGAAGGGGACCCTCCAACACAGATGAACCTCGCACCGCGAAAGTCATTTTTTACACATATGAATGGCCCAGAAAAAGAGATTGACGATACAAGAAACATTCACACACACACACACACACCCATGCAAACAGCGCTTTCAACCCTGGTCACTGTCCAAGCCAGTGACCTCTTTTCGTACCCGGTGGTGGTGGCGTTTTGGCCGGGCCGATTCCGGGAATGAACGGCAAATAAAGGACCCTTGATTTGTTTGAAGAGACTTTTATTTTTGGGATTTCTAGCAGCCGTCAGGACCTCGTGTCGGTAGCGTAGCCGTGCATCTATTTTGCAAGAGAAATGAGAAAAGAGATGACTGTCAGACAAGATGTGCCAAGATGCGAAGTTTTAGCTGGTTTTCTTGATGTGTTCCTTGACGTGAAGCGCATGTTGTCAGAGAATTTGGTTGCCATGCAACGAGAAGGTTCATCATTTTCTTCAGACCCCGCAAAACGATAAGGGATAGAACAAACAACAACTAGCTACAGTGTGTGTGTGTGTGTCATAGAACCCATATATATATATGTATGGGATAGAACCCATAGAAACCAAGAACCCTGGTAAAATCTCTTAGAGACGTCCACAAGTCTTCTTCACTCCAGGTGGAGGAGTTCATCCGTCCGTTGAGCCGCTGGGTCCGGGACAGCAAGACGGCGCCGAGATTCATCAAGTGAGCCCCTCAAAAAGAAGAGGTTGGAAATCAAGACATGGAGCAGGAAATTCGGGACATGGACACTGATTGGAACAGGAGTTCTTTTGTGCTATGGATGTTTGAGCCTACACGTGGAAAACCGCAGGTGTAGTTGTGACAATTTTTGAACATGCATGACTACCAGTGCATCTCCCGATCCAGCAAAGCTGAGAGTCAGAGTCTGCATAACTATCTGATGACTGATGACAGTGGCACCGTCAGGGCCCAGCGATTTTCGCTGCAGATTTCGGGGGGAGTTCGGGGGGGGGGGGGCAATTTGAATGATATGTTGTGCGACTTTTTTTTTTAATCTTTGGCTCCAGTTTCACGTCTTCATGGAAGCGCTCTTGCGTCGTCGGGACTCTGAAAGATGCTGAAAGTTCATACGGGAACGATTGATGGAGCCTGGTCTTTGTTGAAAAAGGCTTGCCAAAACAGATCAGAACCACGGACGTCACTGATCAGACACAGATCAATGAGAAGATCTGGCGTGGCAGTGGCGATGGGAACCTGCCAAGCACGATTCCCTAGCCACACTGACTGCAAAAACGCTGCGAGCCATGTGAGAAACACACGCAGCTGTCCAGTAATGATGCAGTTTTTCTTGACAGAGATATCATTTTAGGCACGGGACAGCATGTTTTGTGTGTGGCAAATACCACAACAATTGTAAATCCCCATGGAAATGCACTCTTTTCTCTGTGCTCAACTCTCCAGAATACTGCAAATAGCACACTGGAATGCTATACACAGACAAAAAACGCCAAAACACAGGTTAAGAAATCCACGCGTCGGGATGTTTGAGGCCCGTTTCAATTTTTGTTTTCGTCAGCCCAGGCGTGTGTTTTTTTGCTGGGTAACGCTGAGCACTGGAGTTGGGGTGTGACCCGCAAGGCAGTGTGATGTTGGGCAACTCATGTCTGACACAAGCGGCTCAACCTTCGCCGACAGCAAAGATCGCCTGTCTCGTTGGCATGGAAGGCAAATGGCTTCAGGATGCAAACGATTTAATCCAACTGAAGCGGGGAAACTTAGGAACCTCAGATTTTTTGGGGACTGAGCAGTTTCTCTTGGCCCCCATTACATCTGCTTGGACGTCCTTTAATTATAAAGTACACCCTGACGGGGTGTATCACATCCACAGCGGATCGCCAAGAAATCAAAGCCGCAAAGCTACCAAAGCACCCTGCCCCGAGAGCGAGCCAACGTGGGGATGGATGAATGATTAGCAGAAGGAACTCACGCCTGTCGCATCCAGAGTGCTTTGTGTGTGCAAGGACGGAGCAGCGAGACTCTACACTCCCACATGCATAATGGTGATGCACTTCACTTGTTACTAATAGCGATGCCCCTGCTACTAGTAGCTTCCAGTAGCCTCTAGCTACTAGTAGTAGTGCCCTTGTTACTAGTAGTTGCAGGAGGATCCTGTTTAGGTGCCCTGGCTGGACGAGCGGGCCCATTATGACTGTCCGGAATCTCCAGCCAGGACACCAAGACAGATGGTCCTGGTATCACTGGTATCCATGAAGAACATCATGGTATCGTGAAATGGCACAACAAATTTTTCATGATGAAATAACCATGTAATCCTCGCAGATCCTGATTTATTTGCAAAAAATTGAACGATATCAATGTAATCCGGGTCTTGATCGGATTTCGCAGATGACATCCTCGTGGTGGAGCCGATGGGCGCCAAAAGTTACGGAAGGGTTCGTGTGGTCTTCATCCGACAGATGTTTCTTCACCCCCTGGGTAGTCAAGACTAAAGCACTTCATTGTAGTGAAGACCCCTGTTAATCAACATCCATGTTCATCAAACAAACAGAAACACTTCTTGTAGTGAAGAGATCAAACCAACTGCCTCCTATTGCCTCCCATGAGCCCCAGAATAGGGGGGTTGCGTCTTCACTGAGCGTGGTCCGAGTGCTGGTCCAGGTACAACATGATTCGCTGCATTCATCAGCAAGAAGAACTGCAGATGGCCATGGACGCCAGCTACATGGAGCTGGCCACGCGCATGGACTCTTGGTTCATTCGTTGCATGACGACCCGCTCCATCCGCCTTTGGAGAAGAAAGACCTGCTTTGTCAGAAGAAGCTTCTGCACCACGAACTTACGAATGGGTCACCCCGTTGGAGAAAAAAGGGAGTCCTCTTCGACTTTTACAGGGCCCTGGCAGAGGGTTTTGATGGGTTTTGTGTGCAAGCTACTGGGGGAGGAGTAGCTATTATACAAAACGATAGTGGTGTTCACGGTGTTCACCACACATAGTGCTGTGTAGCTCAGTCTTAGGGAGACCTGCCAGGGGTTCCGACGTCCCCAGGCTGCTCACATGGTGGGCTGGCGTTCGCCGGGTGAGACCGTATACAAACCATACCTGGTTGAAGTGTTTCCTGGTTGATTTTTTTTTGTTATGATCATTCAGTATTTAAAGTATAAAAACTATTATGATGTGTTATGTAGTTAGTTGGTGGAACACTGAGCAGTGGTCGAACACTGAACAAAAGGTAGGGAACCATGAATCGACCGAGATATTCATGCATCTCATGGTGCAGCAACGACTGTGCCCTCACTTTTGAGAAGCATTTCTCTTTTTCGCGCTCAGGAGCAGATCTCTGCAGAGGTCCAAAAAGTCTTAGAGCACCTTGGCATCGCCACACTGAGAGGCAGAAAATCGGATCCCCAGCTGGGAGGCGGTTCAGGTCCCTAAGCTGCGGACGAAGCGTCTTCGGAAGCGAGTTTGGACCATGATTTGGACCATGTACCTCAAAACCATTGCGACGTACATGGTTTGGTCGCCCATTCTTTTGCTTTTAAACAAGGTGGGTCAACCGAGGCTCGTTTGACAGAGTGTGCCAGTTCTGTTCCCAGATATTTTCGAGGCATGTGCAGGAGACCCATCGTTTTGACGGGGTGTAAACCACGCCTTCCTGTAGATCTTCCCTGAAACCAATCCAATGATTTTGTAGGTTGCGCCCCAGCAGGTTAGAGATTCTCACTATTTTGGAGAACAGTCTTTACTAATGGTTCTCATCATCCACTGGGCCCTAGAGGTTGGGACAGATTTACCAATTCCGTGCCCTGTCCAAGGCTGGCCGCCTCTCGAGCACCCGGCGACGACCTCGACACGCCGACCTGCCGAATTGGGGTTTGGCGTCACAAGCTTTGCGGTTTGGACATCTCGGTTTTTCAAAGATTCGCATCAGATTCGCAGATGGTTCAAGCAAAATGCTGTGAACCCCAGACTTGTTGGGGTTACCATCTTCTTGGTCTAAAAAGTCAACGCTTCTTGGCGAGCCGTCTATGGAACGCCGTCTATGGAATCCGGGTGCTTTGCTCAGACCGGTGGAATCCGGCATGGATGGGGGGGGGGTGTGCTTTTGAAGCAATGGTGAGCACGTTGTGTGTTGGGTTGTGTTGGGTTGAGTCATGTTGTGATGTTCTTTTTCGTTTTGATGTTTCAGCGCCCGGCCAAGAACCGGCCGTCGCTCCTCCGGCTTCCTCTCCTGGTTTGCCATTCATGACGGGGGTGTGACCCGTGGGTTCCTTGGGCCATGGTGCGAAGGCTGGAGACGGTGGAGCAGCCACATGCTTCACGAGGCTTCGTGTCTTTCAAAGAGGCCAGCCCCTCCGCTGTTTGGGCGGGCTGGAGCGACCTGAAACGTGTCGTGTCTAGACCGCGTGAGACGGCGTTTTTCAGACGGCGAGACGGTGATGTGCAGGTGAAGTGATGGCAGAGTTCGCTCTGAACATGGGAGGATGCCCAACTAGACGGAGGAAGGTGACATTTTCCCGCCTTCACTGGGCGAAATGTTGCGAACCGGGAGATGGAACTTCTTTACTTATAGTGACTCCCCCGAATTGCATCAAGATTCAAGTGCTCCTAGTAGACAAGCTTTTGTGTTCCTTGGCATCATGATGTCAAGATTTCAACTCATCCCAGAGTTTTTGCGCTGCCTAACTGGCTTTTGAGGGGCTTGGAAGCAGCTGGTGGTTCCGGAGTGATTGCTTGCTCCTAGTTCAGAATTATACGACACGACCACGAGCAAGGTTGTGTGGCTCCCATAGTGTGGATCAGGAACTGGAACTGGAACTCCACCGCCCCCTGCTGCCCCCCACCCCTGAGACAGCTACCACCACTGGATCTGGAACTGGATCCGTTCCAACCAGCTGGGGGCACACACTGGTGGCTCCAAACTCATCGATGAACGAGGTTCTTTGGGGAAGCGCCGTCGACCGATCCACCACGCCAGTTACGGTCGCATGGCTGAAGGTGAACAGACGCACTCTGACCGAGAATCCCTGGGATTTTTTCACACGTGGTGAACGACCATTCAGCCAGAGGCCTCTTTCCATGGTAGGATGATGACCTCATGACCCTCACGTGATTCACGCCACCTTTTCAACGGTCTTTTTCAAGATCTCTTCGCGACGCCTTTCATCTCCTCCGCGACGCCTTTCGTCGCCCCACGAGGCCACGTCACACTCCGGGCGTCACCACGTCACACTCCGTGGCGAGGCGGAGGGTCGCGGGGCCCGCGGGGTGGCCCACCTCGGTGCGAGGTGTCGGTGGGGCGGCGCGATGAGTTGCATGGGATTGGGATGGGATGGGATGGGATGGGATGGGATTGGGGGCATTTCTGTGGAAGTTCACACCAAAACAGAGAGGTGGACCATTTCAACCTATGTTATTTTCAAAAGAAACGGGCACGGAGTCAGAAAGGGTTGTTCAGTTGGCAATGCTTGAGGGATGGTGTAAACTTCAGTGGAATCTTCCCGTGCGCAAGGGGTTGCTGGTGCATCGGAAGCAGATTAGGAAGCAATTTGGGATGGTAGATGGTCTCCTGTTAAGTCTTCCTTTTTTTGATTTCTTCTTATTCTTCTTCTTCTCCTTCTTCACTCATTGCTAGATAGATGAAATGTCCGAATACAGATAGCCTTTGCTGGCTTTTGATTTGTGTGGCCGCTTGGGTAGTTTCCGTGATTCCCCTCATGCCACCAATATAAAAGTACGACGGCGCCCAATCTAAATGCACCCCTCTTTTCATCTTGAGATTCCCCGTTGTTCCGATAAATCTTAGCATCTCATCGGTTTTACTCCTCTCTTATCAGCTCACATCTTCCTCGGGCCCTTCCAACAGACATCCTCCGCACGCACCTCTTCGTGCTTTCGCACGGTAACCGCACGGATGCAGGCGCCTCTGGTGAACTTAGACCTGGCAACCAAGCAGCTGCGTGAGGCACTGAACGAGGCAGGGTCAAGCAGCTAGAAGAGATATTGTTCGATCGAGGACATGATTCCACAATTCATGACGATTACAGTCATAGACCCGGTTCGTCGTAGTAAACCAGTCAAAGATGGTCACTCCTTGTAAAAAGAATGTCGGCCAGCAACCGAACCATCATCCACTGAAACCTGATAATGGGAGATACCCAAGTCATAGACGTCAACTACAAAGTCAAAGACATTTTCATATCAATATATGAAAATCAAAGCATATTTGGAAAATCAAGAATCTTGTATTGCTTTATTAAGATCATACCGAGTGCTAGGATTGTCCAGTATTGACTTCTGGCGATATCAATGTTTTTTTTTTGGGTGGATTTTTGTCCCCACACCCACATGAACACAACAAAACTTCACAAAGAGAGAGAGAGAGAGAGAGAGAGTGGTTATATTGCCAGACCTGGGGCGTTTGCTTTTGCCAGTAACAGTTGGTAAACGATTCTTATATACTATTTTGAAGAACGTTGTTTTTTTTTTTAATCAAGCACCATTATATATAGAATATAGTCAGTCAGTAAAAGACTTTCACCATTTTCGCGAAAGGTCTATACTCACCCTATCAGCCACTACCCTGGTAGTGGGATATCGAACCATCTACCGATCTCCATCCTCTCCATCCACGATGGGCTTGGCTCCGCTTGGCAGGCCACAGAGGTGGCCTTGCAGAAGTCCCTGGCCACTTGGTGCAACAGCAACGGACCAACCTCAGACCGATGGCCTCCAACCCAAGAGCGAGTTCTCCTGTGGAGTCCCATTTTACAAGTCCAGTAGTGACGCGGGTGGCAAACGGACCGGTCGAAGGGGGCGATTTCGGGGCACCCAAGCGTATCACAAAAATGATTGGTAATAAACATAGAACACCTGAATAAACAACTTGAATGAACAAGTATTTTTGGAATTAACCTCATTTAATTATCCATTTTAAACCCAAGGTTTTGGGAGTCGTTTGACTCATTGAAACATCTCACGATGTGACCCGAAATCGTCATGGGTAATTGACCATTGACATCGTCGGTGCCAACGATCTTTCACTGGACCACTTCCAAGAAATTCTATCCAGACGCTCCGTGTGAACTCACACGCCTGACTGACCGTTCGTCCCGACTTCGATTCGACTTCGTCTGGATGGGTGTCTCTCACCCCGCGATCCCATCGGGAGTCGGGGTCCGATCTCCGGTATTCCGATTTACCCATCTCCGAGCTGGAGATGGGTGTGGTATTGGAATAGAGAGCCCCGGAACACTGGTCCATCCTCCTGAACCGAACAGGGGGACGTTGCCAGGAAGGTCTTCCTACTGTAATTGTTTGAGCTACACACCCACAAAGACCTGCGCGAGATATTTATTATTAGCCATTGTCCGTTCTTTTATTTTTGTTTCGCCTGACTTCAAAACAGAACGGAGAAGGTGCACCGGGCGGGGGGCTCCTTTTGTTCTTGTCTAGACATCAGTTGCTTTGGCGACCGGGTCTCCAACGAACTGGGCCTTTCGGCGCTCGGACAGAAGCGCCGTTGACGCCGCTTTGGGTGAGGTCACCATGGAACGCCTCTGGAAAGAGGCAATGCCCCGACCTGTGCCGCAAGATGTGAAGGTCTGCACGAAGGACCTGGGATTGAGACGCCTACGACCAAATACGACGAAATACGGGGCAGTCCGGGTGGCTCTTGCATATAACATATAAGAGATTGGCACTCGGACCTGTGGACATATATGACTTGATTGACATTGATGCACACTTGGGTTTCTTCCGAAGTGGAAGAATCTGGGCGGAACGGACGGGGACCTCCCTTTTGCAGTGACAAATCCCGAAACAGATCAACTCAAAGCCTTTCATCGCAAACCGTTCCCCCAGTCCAACGCAACCATATAGACTCTTGATTAATATACCATAATATACCCACCCTTTGGATGGTAAAACCTCTTCATCTGTCTTTTTTTGGATCAAGAGTTTACCTTATGACCTCAAAACACGTTGAATGATCTGATCTCGGGGCCAACGAGCTGGACCAACGCCGCTCCTCCCGAAGAAGGGTTCGATGGGTCAGAAGACCGTCGACCAACACCTTGTCTCTTCTTCATTCAGAACGGGCCGAAGGACATGACCCACAGGACCTCCTCCAACACATCCTTTGTGTGCAAGTGTGTGTTGGAATAGGAAAGATACCCAACTCATCCCACCTCAAACCCGTAACATGTGGGGCGTTTTTGCCCCCTTGCTTGGTGGACAATGGTCGACACTGCCTTACATGGAGAGAACCCGCTCACCACCTTCACCAAGAGAGGGTTTTGTCACAGCCCAATATATTGCCCATCCCAGATGTACCACGGTCGTTCGGGGTCGTTGGTCCTAGTTCAGGTCTGTTCAGGTCCTCTCCAGCGGCATCCCAACCACCTGCGCCGGTCATCGTCGCGGATCTCGTCTCAGGATGTGGAAGCGCCGGGAGCCATGCGGACTCCGAGCGGACGGAGCCATACGGAGCCCAGGTCGACCGACCGACTTCATCCCCAGCCTGGACGGGTTCCTTCCTCCCAGATTTGAAGGAGAACAGTGTCCTCTTCCTGGGTGTTTGCTCCAAGCGTCGTCAAATCCACAAGAAATTGATGCTCACCATTGTGCACGGTGGGATTTTGAAGACCCATCCCTTTTAGTTGGCAATTCCATTCCAGAAGTTGAGGGGAAGTCAGCACATATCACCACTTGGATTCTTTCCCGAGCCCGTGCAAGTGGTGCTGTTTGCCAGGTGTCCCATGGCTACGGTTTGGTACATCGTGGCTAATCAAATTGGGCACACATTCTGGGAGGGAAGGAACACTTCATCACATCATATCACATCCATTTTGAGGTTTCTCCAAAGCCTCAGAGGCTGCTTTTGGCATACCCTGCCGAAGACCAGCAGCCCGCCCCACACCAGGCTGCCGAGCAGCGACGAGCGCAGCGAGCGCAGCGAGCTGGTGTCGTGTGAAGTTGAGCAGTCAAAATCCGGGAGGCGAACATGGGGGATGGATGTGGATTGATACATGGGTGTGTATTAGAATAGGGAGACCCCAGTTTGACCTCTAGGAAAATCCATACTAAATCCATTGGTGGGAGGTCCCTCTCGTAAAATACAAAGCAACACCTGTTTTTTCCCCTCATGCTTGATGAAACAACCCGGAAATCCAACATATAACACAACACACACATATCATAATATACATTCTACATCATTCTACATCAGCTACGACCTGAAAGCATTTGAACACCAAACACTACTTGCAGACACATACACACAATTGGGATCTTCTTTGGTATACCGATCCAGTAGGGCAGGGCCTGTCAATCAACATTGAAAGGTTGGAGGCTTGGAGATAGGAAGACCCATGACCAGTTTCAACGGCAAATGTTTTCTGGTCTTGAGGTATTCAGACTCATGGTGTTGTTTCATGGCGACCTTTTAAGAGCCCGAACGGCGCCGCCTAAGCCGAAGGCCCCGAGGTCGGGGCGACTGTGAGCGAAGTAAAGGGTTGCATCTTGAAAAGGTAGGAAAACAGGGTGCAGTTCGTAGGAAATCCCCTGTTCGCCTCTTTTTTTGGTGGACCCTAGGTTTTGTGGGACTGTCAGGAGCTTAGGTCAGCTTGCCATGGCGATGCTGAAAACGCTCTTGGCTCGCACCGGCCGTTGCGTGCGCGCGCTTCCAGTGGAGGCCGATCCGGACGCTCTCAAGCCCCACGAAGTGTGCACAGATCCCCATGAGGCCGGACCTCTCGGCGGGAATCGAGTGGCGCGCACGAGCGCGAGCGGACGAGCGCTGGAGGTTTCAGGAGCTGATGGGGTGAACCTAACGCCGTGAACCTAACAAACACCCAATGGACTGATGCCTGGCATTGGCCTCCGAACAAAACACACTGCAATGGCTTAAATGCTGGCCAAGCCTGGTTTTCACCCAAGATCAGTTCGAAGAAGCTTTTTCTCCAAACAGTTTACTGTTGGGAATCTCTCTTAGGAAGAAGAAGGTCTGGCCACGATCGCCGTGGTCGCGCCGTCCGCCCTTTCCTCACCGCCGTCCGTCCGGACCTTGTCCAAGCCTTGTTCAGGTCTGTGTGTCCTGCTTGTCTACGTCCTTGGCTCTTTTGTCCGGGCCTTGTCCCCCTGCTTGGCTGCGCCGTTTCCCTTCTCCACCGCTAACCGTCCAGTTTGCCTTCTTTTGGCTATGAATGCAGCAGTGATGCAGCGTTTCAATTTAAAGTTGAGATCATCCGGTTCGGAAAATGTTTTTTTGTTTACATGCCATTCCCGAACAGTGACAGTAGAAATAACTATTCAGCAGAGGTGTCCACCAAGCTTGTTGTTCAAGAAATTGATGCAACAGAAACACGCTAAAACTGTTTGGGGTCTATGCTGGTAAATGTTTCAGTCGGGCTCAGTCTTCCCCATCAGACGATCTTTGGGCAGACACTAGTATGGATGTTCACTTGGTTTATCACCAACCTGGGATGGGGTATACCTCCATCTTCCCTCTTGATATGTTTATCCTTTGTACTTGCGACTCGGATGACCCAATGCCTCGGTGTTCCAGACAAGACCGCTCGGGGGCACCACCTCCGGGACCTGCATCGGAAATCAGCATGCCTCCTCTGCGGAAGAGCGGCAGGTCTGAGCTGGATGGGAGGCAACAGAGTTTCTTGGCTTCAACGAGACGAGGGCTCCGAATTCCCCGAGGGTCGACGTGGATGGGAGCGGCATAGGGGAACAGCAGGGGAGAGGCGAAGGTCAGCTGGAGATTCTGGAGTGTTGCGATCATGTGTTTCCAGAACCCTTAACCTGGAGTGGTTGCTGGCGATGGCACCGATCTCCATGCTACATCTGGACCTGGAATTACATCTGGCTTCTTTTGACTCCAGCGATTCCAACGCCGGATCAGATGATTTCTTGTCTTCGCCCACCAGTTTTGGTTCGAAATTTGCTTTGAGGGAAGATCTACAGCCTACCCAGGAAAAGTGGATAACCTTTAACTTGTGACGAGGATGGGGTTTCCCACGGTTTCCCCGCTAAACAAAACAGGAATATAAAGGTTAACCTCTATTTTCCCAGGAAACAGAGGGAGGAGGACCGGACACTGGACACCCAAACCTTTTGGGGGGTGAAAACCGGTTTGCTGTCGATGTTCGATTGAACCACTTCTTTCTATGTGAAGCTTTGTGTTCAGCTATTTATGGTAAGCACCCTGTCAAACTCTGTCAACCTGGCGCCGCATGTGCTTGCGAGCATCATGACCTCGTGACAGACCTCGGAGGGTCCAGGTATAGATTAATGTAGACTCTTGATTGATAACTTTAATGACCCCTCCAGATGAAGATGTGTTTCTTGTTTCAATGGGTGGGTGTATGAAAAAAGTCCCTCTATATATGGCTGTAATCCCTGGTAATTAGCTTGAATGTAGTGGTCTGTTCTGTTCCTTTTTGGGAACAACTCCGGGTCTCCCAGTTTGGACCCACAGTCACCTTACGTCTCTTGTCTTGGACATCAGCTGATCCGCATTTTTTGGCCTTTCGCGGCCTTCAGATCGACGTGAGCCAACATGAGCCCGTGGGACGTACGGGGAGCGGAATGAAGTCTGGGTGATTGAACGCCGATCGTTGGAGACGACTGAACGCCAAATGAACAGCTAGGACTATTTCATCATTCAATCCATTTCTATTTTCGGATTTGTTGAATTCTCTTCAATGATCCAGATGAAGTCCAATCTCACGATTTTGAGCTGACTTTTCAGCAAGCTAGGAAGACATGGTGGCACAGAAATCACTCTCATGGGTGCTTCTTGCTTCATGTGAGAGGTGGTGAATCAGTGCCAGCCAAGTCTAGACTTCCCTGAAATCGCCACGTGGATGGCCTGTATGGCCCCGAACATTTCGACTGACATCGGAGGACAAAATCGGAAAGATCCAAGTTTTGGAGTGGTTTTCCACCACTGACTCCGAAGATTTCAGGGAGTCCGACCATTTTCCGCTTCAAACTGCCATGGCCACTGGAGACCCTCGACTTCGCGGGCCGGCCGTTCTTCCGTGACAGGACTTCTTTTTGGTGCACGGGGACCCACCATCTGTTGCTGGGTCCCCATGGCATGCGTCAAGCACCAAATCGACGCATTTTTCAGTCCTTCCCTGGGCCAAGCCCAGGCAGGACCCGATTTTGTGCATGCTCTGCATGACTTTGTGTGACTGCTGCAGCACATTTCGGGCGGGATTTCGCCACCGATCGGCTGAAGACTGTTGATGCATCAAACTCCCTGAGGTTTTGAATTGCATGAATTTTGGAGGTCCACCAAGGTCGGTTCTCCGTGTCTCTGTTTTTTCACCCGTTTTTTTCGCGTGCGCCTCGTCCAACGACGTGATTGCGAAGGTGGAGAAGAGGGTGTGCCAAGTGTCGAGCAGTGTCGGGCAGTGGTTTCGGTGCTGGAGGTGGGGAGGGAGCAAACGTATTTGCAAACATCAGCATGGCATTCGAACAGCGGTTGGGGCATCTGTTTTGGGGCATAGGACCCGCAGCACCGCTGCAGACGCACCGCTGCATCCGCACCGCTGCATAGACCCATGTTCCACAGAAGTAGATGATCGGATGTGCCCCCCTGATCCTAAAGGAAAGGCATGTCCTTCCACTTGGATGTGTTTTTGGTGTACCGAGCAAGATCGAGTGGCGATGAAAGATCGATCGATTCTTCATGCTCCGAAGTGATTCTTCAAGGGGGTTCTTCTACTCCTCCCAATGGAGTGTGACACTGGAGTGTTTGTTCGCCAGGCCGCCATGGGGCGTTGGGGTGTGGATTCTGTTCTTGCCAGACCGCCAGGGCCTGGAAGACGATGGGGTAAACAACCAAGAGACCTCCAATCAACAACCAATAGGTAAAAGGAACATCCATCAATGAATCAATGAACCATCCATGAACCCCCTTCTATTTGTCCCAAAAGGGACCGAACATGAAACAGGACCGAAAAACCTCCACCGTGGCCGGAGTTTCTCTCGTTCAGCCGACCCTTTCCGGTCGACCCCCGGGTCAACCTGCAGCTGTGGGTATCTGTGGGGCATGGCCTCCAGGCACCCTGGTCCAAAACCGGGTTTAACGAACAGATCCCTCAAGGGATGATGTCAACCTCCCATGAGCCATGACTCACAGCCATGGGCCATGTAGTAATATGTAGTGTGTTTTCCTGGGGTGTCGGATGTGACGAGGGCGTTGACGGCGATCAGACCTCTCGACCGAGCGATCTGCCGGACCGGAGGCGATGCCGGATGGGGAGGAAGTGAGACGAAGTGCTGGAAGAGCGAAGCTTCTTTTTCTTTTTTCTCTTGATGAATAGGTCCTTAGGTGCTTAGGTGATGAATAGGTCCTTAGGTGCTTAGGTGCGTCCTTGCTCCGTTCGTAGTACGGCCAGGAGCCCCCCTTCGTAGCGTCGTCCTTGCTCCGTTCGTAGCGATGCCAGGAGCCCCGAACGTAGCATCCTTGCTTCTTGATGAATAAACCATCCCATTTGCCATTTGGATTTTTTCAGACCTCTTCATCGGGTAATGATTATGAATCAAGAGTCTACATTCTAGTGGAACCCCGCTGCGATGCGACATCGGGCCGATGCTGAGCGTCCGCCATCGGCTCAAGCGCGAAGATGTGCGAAGATGTGCGAATCTCTCGTGTGCGAAGCTCTCGTGTGGAATGTTCTTCTGAGGTGGGGAGAAGAGGGAACTGTTGGTTTTGGTGAAGGGGGGCTCAAACTTATACAGTGTATTTTCAGCTCGGAAAAGCTTTGCAACTTCTTGCAACTCACAGTTCTGCTTTAGGGGACGAGATCTACTCACCAGGCAAGCTTGGCATCACGTGCCTGGTGTTTTCCGACCTGCAGGTCCTGTTTGTGAAAGAACGGAAGACAGTGGAGAAACCTTGTCAATCAGGTCCTCCTTCTCCTCCTCATCCTTTTTTCATCTTCTTTGCCACACAGCACATGAAGCGAAAGAAGCAGCTTGGCCTTGCTCTAGGCAGGTCTGCTTCTCCACGGTGGGCTCGCTTCTTCTTGCAGAGGGTGGCACCCAGGCACCCGACGGCCGTGTGACAAGCAGCGCCGCACGGTGCCGGGAGGTTTGGAAGTTCCAGACAGGTCCATTTCGCGAGATGCAACCTGTCTGGGACTTTCGCAACCAGAACCGATCCATTGTGGTGCATTCTTCGGAGGTTCAGCTTCGGGTTGGTGGAGGACTGGTGGACCCGAGACGCTGTCGGACAGGTTCTGGAGACCCGGTTTTCCCAGGCAAAATGAAGTTGAACAGACTACTTTGGGAACGAGACGCATCTATCGGAGCAGCTGATCCGATGGGGGATTTCGGAGTGAAAGCAGTATGGCCCCAACAAGGCTCGGTGCTTGGTTCGCTCGCACCGGGGGAAAGCGTCGGAACCATCGGATCCCTTCCATTGGCGGTGTCTTTTCTGCGAAGGTCGAACTTCGTGGTTTGCATGGGGTGGGACCAACGCGATCCTCTCCACCGCCGAGACGACGCGAGCGGATTGTAGACAATGGGAGTGGAAGATGACGACTCAGTCCGCTGAGAGCTTCGATGGCACATTTGCACCAAGAAAGTCGAAGAAACATGTCTTCGAAAAGATGGGGGTAAAAAGATGTTTGCACCACCTAACATTGGAGTAACTTGTGCCATCTACTCTCAATCGATAGCTACATCGACCCTTTTCAACCACCCCAAAAGAGGTCAATTTGGAGATCTTTTCCACCGGGAGAATTTTTCTCCTTTTGCACCGCAAAATGCAGTGAGAACACACTCCCTGGAATCATCCGGCCCGTGGAGAACGGCCCCGAAGACTCGGATGACCATGAGTCTTCCGAAGACCAGGTGGTGATGGTGGTGAACTCCACAAACCCATGATGATTTCAGGGAGTGCAAAGTGTAAACCTCCTGAAATACTTCAGAGCGTTCCACCTCAGCGTGCTCCACCATTTTTGGTCACCAAGGGTCTGCTGCTCGCCAGTCCCAGTCCAAGCACCATCATCCTGCCGTGCAAAGAAACACCTGTTCGTTAGATTGTAGTGTGCCTCCTTTGGAACAACATACTGGAAGAGCTGACAAACTGGAGAGCAACCAGTAACCCACGGAACCAGTGCTGACATGGACGGAGTTTCAGAGCTTGTGGCATATTTTTTGAGTTCTTATAGACGTATGGTTTTGTTGAAGAAACCAGCCCACGGACTGATGTGCTGAATCTGAACAAAAACGATACTTTGCGGCAGACCTCTCTTGGAGCAGGAGCTTTTTTGAGATACTATACAAAATCCAATTCAATCTTCAGTGCTCTTGAGGACTTGCATTCTTCCAATCACCGAAATTCACAGCACAGGAACTCCAACACGTCTAGAACTTTCGCACGACTCCCAAAAGCACGCCCAACAGCTCCTGATTTCCACCGTCGCCCCATCGCGATGGCGTCCGCAGCGACCCCGCCGCACCCGCGCGACGGCTGACCCATGAGCCAACCTCAGCAGGCGCGGCGGGGGGACGCCGCGCCACGGTCCGTCGACCGAGGTCCGGCGACGGTTGGGACCCGGAAGGATTCGATGGTTGGTGCATCAGCCGAGTCTGACAGAGAGAGTTTCTGCCCTTGAAGGAGGACGCTCTCTCTATTCATCTATTCTTTTTTGTGAGACCAAGTATGTTCCTTTGTATTAGTAGCTTTGTTCTCCTTTGGGGCAAGAACAGGCATCTTAATTTCTGAACTCTTTCTTTCTCTCAGGTGTCACATGCGGCGAGTTGCATCAGATGGGGTTTTCCTTTTTTGGTACCTTGAGTTGATCCTTTTTGATTCTTACTGAGAATAGGCAGGAGACATTTTGAGGCATAACACATACAAGCACATACCCCCTGGCCAGTTCAAGAACACCCCTGCAGCAGTTGGATGGTCTCGTCCATGACCGACCTTTTGAAGGGACCGCCTCGACCCGAACCCGGGCCCTGAGCAATCTGCAGAGGTTTTGCTGCTGTCGGCCTTCAAAAAGTTCGACATCAATGGGGATGGGACCATCAGCGAGGACGGGGACTGCAACATGACGGGAATGGGAATGGCACTGCCCAATGGATTGCCTGGTGGAAGAAAGAGATGCCCAAACACTGCAACACTCCATACAATTGGACCCCTGACAAGAGCACCCCAATGTAGGTCAAGGATGTCAGAAGGTCAAGGATGTCAGAGTGTGTGGCATGGGCGGACGGAAGAAGAAATTGTGCCCGTTCTCACAGAACAAAAAGACAGCAGAATGACATTGAATGAGCATTTAGACAACTGTGCGTTGAAGAATTTGGGTTCCAATACCTGGGGCTTTACATGCCCAAACAATCCCCAACAATCGAATGCGTGCAGATGCCCCTCCAAAACAAAGATTCATTCCGTTCGTTTTCCAGCGATCAATTGCACTTGGATGAACCGTCTCGCATGGACGTTCGTTGCTTCTTCGTGTTCGGTGAATCTCAGGAGTCCCCCCGTGCACATCCCTGATGCGCGCGCGCGCGCGCATCACCGTGAGGATGAGTTGAAGCGGGTGATGCTACTCTTGGACCCCTCCTTCACTCCCTATGAACTGGATGTCATCTTCTCAACAGCTGACCTCAGCAAGGTGCGGACGCAACCCGCGCCGGTCCGAGGCTTCGGACGCGTCCGAGATGCCGATGCCACGTGGATGCGCTCCCCCGGTGTACTTACGAAAATGGGGTGTACTAGGATCCATTTTAAGTAGCCATTTTGTAAGAAGTATATTTTGAGCCATTTTGTAGCGGTACAAATGGTGATCCTACTGGGTGGCAGGCCACTATTTTAATTCTCGCGTAAAACTAGTTTATCTACGAGCGCACAGATATGTCTCTGGGAACAATCATTTTGTAAGAAGTACCATGTCTCATACCTCCCAATTTTTGCAACTGGGGACCATCATTTTGTAAGAAATCAGCATTCGACAGTGGTGCAAACCAGTCATTCTGTATCATTCTGTAGTAATTAGATACCTGAATAAAAGATGCGCCTTGCATTTTGTAAGCCCAAAACCGTTTTATAGTACAAAATGGGGTATCCTAGGTCCACCGTGCAAATTTCAAAGGCGATATATATATATATATATACATATATGTTGAAATGAACGCCATCCGCAGGGATCGCAATGGTTCGAGGAAAGAACCGCCGCGCACCCGATCGTGTCGGTAGGACCCCACCTGGTGGTTTTGTTATTGGTAGCGGAGCCCTATCCAGGGCTCCGGTAGGTAGGAACCTTCGGATACATGAACGCCATGTCGTCATCGGCTGAATCTACTGGTTGCGCACCTTTAGTGGTGATACAGAAGATGCCAAAGAATACAAGCGCTGGCGCACCTGGGTGGTCAATAAAATCCTGACTTTAGGTGACAAGATGCCAGACAATGCCAAGGGCGCGTATGTGTACACCCTTCTTGCTGGCAAAGCGTTGGAAGGCGTCGAACATATTGAACCGTCTTCATACCAAAAGGCTGGTGGAGAAAAAGTGATCTTCGACATCCTCGATCAACGCTTCCCTCGAAAAGATCAATCAGATGAGATGTCAGAGACTTTGTCTGAGGTGTTCCAGCTCCGTGCGCACGATGGTGAGTCGCTGAAGGGTTGGGTCTCCCGAGCCACAGAGCTTTTCGACCGGGTTCAGAGGAAGGTGAACGTGTCCTTCCCCGAAGAGGCACGTGGTTGGCTGATCCTTCATCGTGCTGGCCTCTCCGAAGAGCAGAAAGCCGTCGTCCTGTCACGATCGCTGGGAGTGTTGAAGCGAGAAGAAATCGGCAAAGCAATGAGATCCTGTTACCCTGAGTTGATTGTTGGTAAGAAACGACCACCTCACGGAGCTGCCGTTGTTGAACACGATGAACAACAACCAGATGTGGATGGTGCAGACTCTGTCATTGCTGAACTGGAACAATTTCTTGCCGAGCACGAGGTTGAACACCCCAACGACGTTGAAGAGTTCTTTGAGGAGCACGATGTTGCCGAAGCTTTGGCCGTGTCGTGGAAGGAGAGGCGCAAAGAAATGGTGAACCTGCGCCGTGCTCGCAAGTTCACTCAAGATTCGGACACCAAACGAAGCTTCAAAGTGGAGATCGAAGAGATGAAGCGTCGCACCCCTTGCAATAGATGTGGACAAGTCGGCCACTGGGCCCGGGAATGCAAGCAGGCTAAAGGACCTGGGAAAGGACACAAGAGCACTTCATCGACCTCCAATGTTTCTTCTTCCCGACAAACGGAGACAGGTGCAGCATTGGTCGAAGACTTCATTGCTATGGTGACAACTACACCCTCGCCTTGGTTGTCCTTGGATTTGCTGCGACAACGTCGTGAAGAGACGGCAACAGTAACATCTGAACCTGTTGGCCTTCAGTCTTCTGCTGTGGCCATCGAGCAATTCTTGGTCAGTTCACCTGGCTATGGTGTGTTGGACAGTGGGTGTGGTCGATCAATAATTGGTGCCTCTACATTGGGAGAGTTTGAAGCTCTTTGGAAAGACCGTGGATGGAACCTTCCTGCGCCCTTTTCCGAGACGAACCACTTCAAGTTCGGCAACGGACAGAAAGAGACCACTCAACTCTCTGTTCGAGTTCCTGTACGTCTTGGTGAACGTGCGGGCACAATCAAGGCAGCAATTGTGCAGGGCACCGCCCCATTGTTGATTTCTTGCAATGCATTGAAGACATAGCAAGCAGTGATTGATTTTGCTGCCAATGAGTTGACTCTCTTGAGGAGCGCATTACAGTTCCGCTGGTGACGAATCAAGCGGGTCAGTACACAGTTGACCTGCTGGGAGAACAAGATGTGTCTTTCAAGCCTTTCGCCGAGGTCATGAACCTCGAGTCCTTTCCAGGTGATGATGAGAACACTGCCATCTCCGCGTCTGAAGTCCCTGTGGATGTTGATGATCCCCTGCCGAGCAATCATGCCAATGGCAGATTCGCGCCGTCCTCCCAACGTGGAAGGCCTGGAAACATGGTGTCGTGCTGATTCCTGTTGTTCTCAGGTCCCATCATTGGGAAAGCAGAGCCCTTCGTGGAACTCCGTTCGTCGTCGCAGTGTGTTTGATCTTGACAGTCAACAGTCAACAGGTAGTCTTCGATGATGTCATTGACCCAACATTTGGTAAGAAGCACTATATTCAAAAGCTGCCGCCTCATGTCATGAACACACAAACAACATTCTGGTTTGTGCCTCAGAAAGCCTCCATGATGATGGAAGCCTTGCCGGTCCAGCAGCTCCGTCGTTTTGAACGACAGGTTCGAGATGAAGCAAACCAGAAACATGTCACACCATGTTCATACATCGATGGTAAACCTTTTTTGGTAGCAGAGGTGTTTTCACCTCCTCGCTTTGCACCGTTAGCTGAGCAATTAGGTTTTGCCTCCCGTTCGTATGACCTCAAGACTGGTGTAGATTTCCGGATAAAGCCCGATAGATGTCAAGTCGCTCGTGAGCTCAAGGAGTCCCCACCAGAATTGTTGATTCTTTGTCCACCATGCACCGATGAAGGGGGTTGGTTCAATTTGAATGCTGCCTAATACATGTCGTCGGCCGAGCTCACTCGTAGAATAGCTCAGAGTAGACTGTACATTCGATACTGTGTGGAATTGTTTGAACAACAAACAGCACGGCTCCAGGCCTTGGAATTACTCAGAAGTGCGAGCACTGGCTGAGCGTTTCCGCTTGGTGAAGTGTCACATGGGCCGGTTTGGCCTCCGTTTGCCAGGTTCCGACAAGTTGATTCGTAAGCCTACCCTGCTGTTAGTCAGCGACGATAGCGTGCCCACGTTGGCTAGGGAATGTCCAGGTTCAAAACATCCAAGACACTGTTGTCATCAGACCATTGCTGGTTCACACCCTGGTGTTGGTTCTATTAGCACGTTCGCAGGCCGGTATACTCCTCAGTTTGTGCAAGCTGTATTAGAGACCGTACACTTGTTTGTTCAAGCACATACAGCGCACTTGGTTGAATGTCAACAGGACACTGAACCATCATTTCAAGAGGTTCTCATGTTCAAGGCTGATCTCGAAGATCCTCAGGCGACGGACGACCAATTGTTACAAGTCTTAGACCACTTGCGTAGGAATCTGGGCCATCCTCCAGGCCATGATTTGTTCCGCATCTTGAAACATGCACAGGCCAGTGATAGAGCCCTATAGGACTTGCCAGGAAATATGAATGCCAGTTGTGTAAAATCCGTATTCGACCTCATGTTGCATTGCCGGCCAAGACAAGCCGAGTGTCCGAATTCAACCGCACGATAGGTCTTGATGTCAAGTTTCTGCCAGGCTGGAAGACAAATTAAAAGATCAAAGCCTTGAACATCGTGTGTCATGGTAGTTGTTACCAGTTGATGATTCCTTTCCATGAAACAGAAACCACTTCCTTGTTGCGCAAGTTGTTTGCTGAAAATTGGATTCGTGTTTTCGGACGACCTCGGGTCATTTTAATTGACCAAGCACAAACCAACATGGGTGAAGCTTTGCAAGAGTTTTTAGATCTTCAGGGAACCGAAGTGAAACAGACTGGCAGTTAGGACGGACCTGGTGGATGGTTTGCCCGTGTTCTGAGTAAAATCATCAGTGAGCATTATGGCCATACTCCACATCAACATGTCTTTGGCCAAAACCCTAGAGTGCCAGCAGATTTGCTTGATGAACCCCTGAACGTGGTCCCAGCTACTGCAGGTTTGTCCGACGAGCAGATGGCTAGAACACAAGCCATCAGAACGTCAGCTCGACATGCAGTGATAGAGATGTAAGACAGCCAATCTCTCCCATGGATCTCCGATTTGCTCCAGGTGCTCTATAGGCCTACTGGCGTAACCAAAAGAACCAAGCGGGGGAGGGCGCTGGTGGTAAGTGGTTTGAGGTAGCAACAGTCATAGGTTCCATTGGCCGCAATTATGTCATTGCCCACCGGCGCCAAATCTTCCGTGTAGCTCCAGAGCAGGTGAGACCAGCAACCTCGGAGGAGACTGCAACTGTTGAGACTCCGGACACTGAATTGCTGGGTATTCGAGACATGATCGAAGGGGGTATGTTTAGGAGTCGTAACTTCATAGGTCTAGTTCCAGGACACCATCCTCCAAGCCAGCCAAGACCAGATTCCGAAAGCTCTGAACCACCGAGCCAGCTGGAGCAAGTGCACATGAGATCCCTCGAGTGCCTCCACCTGTCATGCCACCGACAGGACCTGCCTCGGAGGAAAAGCCTCCAGAGACTGCCGAGCCGGTAGGCATTGGTTCGGAACCTCACCAAAGGCCAGACCTTTCTCCAGAGGACAACCCTGAAGTTATCGACAAGTCTTGGATAGAGCCAAGTGAGCTCTTATGGTCCCCTTCGTACACGCAGTCGATTGCAAGCCAAATCTGAAGCTTCGGCCTTGTACAGACCTCCCCAAATGAAGCAAGACGATTTCGTAGAGATCATGCGTGAGATAGTCCCTCAACTCATAGATCAACACGTATCTAATCAGGAGGGCTCCGAACCTAGCAGTGCAAGCGGGATCAAGCGTCCAGATCCACTTCCGGAACATGTTGATGAACCACCAACTGCCAAGGCTCGTACAGAAGAACATCTTTGGGTAGAATCTGGTCCCTGTCATGAGGTTCTGTCTGCCCAGGAGTGCCATCAACTGTTGCAAACATGGGACAAGACCCAATGTGTTGAAGCCTTGATCACCGCTTACATGCAAAAGAAAGTCGCCAAGGAAATTCCTGCAGTAGGAAACGAGCCTAGACTCCATGAGCTAGTTGAGGAATCTAAGCTGGTGGAATGGTCCACCCTCATGGAGAAGAAGGCCATCAAGATTCACACAGGTAAGCATGCCGCATGGCTGAAGGTCCAATATTCTGATCGCTTTATGGGCAGTCGGTTTGTCATCGTTCGCAAACCTCTCGAGGAGAATTTGCACTTGGATGTCAACGATACCTCAACCTTTCGAGTGAAGAGCAGGTGGTGTCTCCAAGGACATTTAGATCCGGACCTCGATCTCAAACTTGATGAGGGTCTTCTCCATGTGGCGCTTTCTATGTCCAAGATGCTTCATCCAAAGAGATCACCATGTCTCAGCAAACATTTGCTGAAAACATCAGACCAGCACACATTGCCAAGGGAGCCGACAATGAACAACCCCTGCAGGATTCCCAGATTCGAGTGTTGAGAGCTATTAACGGTTGTTTGAACTGGATCGCATCCCAATCACGACCTGACGTGGCAGTCCAGACCAGCTTGAGTCAACAGGTGTTTCCTAATCCCAAGATCAAACACTTAAGAGATGTCAACAACGCTGTCAGAAGGACTAAGCTACATAAAGACGCAAAGATTCAGTTCAAGGCCATCGCTCCTGAAAGTCTCCGACTGTGCTGTCACTCCGACGCCGCTCGCTAATGTAGGAACACGCAGGCAGGATATATCGTGGCCTTCGTAGACAAGAAATTGGACAAAAGTGAGTGAGCCCTTGGACACCTCTGACTTGGAAGAGTTATAAACTCCCTCGGGCCGTATCCTCCACCCTTGCGGGTGAAAGCCAAGCCTTGGCCACAGCGTCAGGCACAGTAGAGTGGGCATGTCTGATTTTGAGCGAAGCTCTTGACGGCAAGTTCGAACCCAGGTTGAGCCGACAAAGATTGAGTGATAGACCACCCATTCTGACGGCAGATGGTAAATCCCTATATGATCACTTAACGTCTCCTTCATCACCAACAGCTGTCGATGATAGACGAACCAGCATAGATATTGTGATCATCAGGGAATCGATCAAAGCCACCAAGGCCTCCATCCGTTGGCTGCCAACAAATCGCATGTTAGCTGATGCATTGACCAAGGATAAGATGGATCCGGTTGATTTGCTTAGATCATGCCTTCGTAGTGCCACATACCAAAAATCCCCAGAGGAACATGTACTGGCCCAACAAGCAGCCGAAAGAGAGCTCCTGATGCAGAGACGCCTCCAATCTGTTCGACCGGAAAAGACAATCTGTCCCAACCGGCTCGAATGATAATAATTGATGGTCTTGAGGTAGTAAAAGCTTGAAGGAATGTGGACCAGTGGGTAAGACATTCAAACCAGCTTTTCGAATCAAGTATGTCAAATCTTGTACAGTGCAAGCTTTTGTTTGGAATATGTTTTCTTCTGCAGCCTTTTTGTGGTGAGTCCCAAGCTTGACAAGCGCATCCAGTGCTTCCTCCATTGGGTCATGTCTTGGACCAAGCAAGACGCAGAGCAACTCCAGACCCTGTTCAAGAAGGCAATCAACCATGGAGTTGATCCAGTGGTGGCCCTCGGAGGACTACCTCACGAGGAAGATTTCGAATTTGTGGGTGCTATGAGCGATGGTTCCAAGTGCTTGTCTGACCAGCAGTACCCTGTGAGCTCGAAGGCAAATCGCAAGCTTCCCCAGTCCTATACTGGGATTGAAGCCGGGAAATCTGATGGTTCCTATGTGGTCCCAGAGTCAGCCACTCCATATGCTACTTCAAAGGATGCTCCAGCATTTCATTCCAGCTTGCCGCCTTTGCCGCCTGGTGTCCTCAGCACCGAGCAGTGGGGTCGCACCAAGATCTGCTTTGGAAAGTTCAAGTCTCGAGATTGGTCCTACATGGATCTGCTGACTTTGCCTGACGGTGAAGCCCAAAGCTATGTGAAATGGTGCCGTGCTCGCCACTCCTCGGCCGGAGGAGAGTTGAAGGACCTTGCTTCGTTCTTGTTCCGCTAGGAAATGGAGCGCTCTCATGGGTCCTTGAAGACCGGTGAGCTCATTCCGGGTACAGGTTCCTTCCGAGCCTTCAAGTAGGCCAGAAGATGAGGATGGCATGGATTCCCGCACTCCATGTATAGGAGTTTGATGAGAGAATATAAGGAGTGTTGAAATGAACGCCATCCGCAGGGATCGCAATGGTTCGAGGAAAGAACCGCCGGGCACCCGATCGTGTCCGTAGGACCCGACCTGGTGGTTTTGTTATATATATATATATATGATATTGACATATATGGACCATATAATTCATTCCTTTGCAGTCACAACAGTGACTTGGAGCACCTGATTCTGTACCAGTCAGAAAAAAGTACATATCATACATGGATCGGTTGGGATAACGTTGATGTTAGGTCGTGAAGTCACATTGGTTTTGGCCAGGGAGTTGCCGGGATTTGGACGGCCAGCATGAGAGCGAATGTCCAAGATTATCTTAGTATCTTGAAGTCCTTGTTAACTGTAGATTATGACAATGATTCTTGAAGGACCAAGAGAAATTGTTTTTGACTGTCGTCATCCTTGACTTTAAGGACCTCCAAGAACAAGTTGGAGAAGTGAAAAGCTTGAGTATGCTTTTTCGAATCGGTTCCGTGGATGGTAGCCGTCCCGAGCTTGCTCGGATGACCATGAAATCCGAAGACCAAAAGCCGGTGGTGCCTTCCAGAAACCCGTGATGATTCCAGGGAGTGGATGCCTTTCTTTTGGTCAAGGTGTAGAGGCCTCCAACTCATCTTCATCCCAAACTCGCGCATGGTGCACAGATGATTGTCTCAGAGCCAACCCGGAGACTCCTGAAATCGAACAAAAAAAGGCCTCCGACCGCTCCAAAATCAGGTTCTGGGAGTTAGGACAAGACATTTTCAAAAAGAGCCTTAACTAAATACTGTTGAAACCAGGACTACCCTACACATCCCTGCACTACTAGCCGGGATCTCCAGCAAGGACGCCCGGACACGATGGTCCAGGTAGAGAACATCTAGCACCACCTGGTGGCACCAAACACCATAAGTATCCATGAAATATCCATGAAACATCCGGATCTGTGAACGCATCGCATCAGACACCGGGTGTTCTTTGCTGGTGGTCACGTTCTGCTAGCTGCTCCGTTCTGCTCTGTTTGACTCGCTCAAGCCGCAGGATGGTTCGGTGAGCATCGAGGACCGTTTGGATTTCTTCGGGCTTCGTGAATCGGTTGCTGTGGCACCGGAGGGGCTGGAGGGGTTGCTGGAAAATCGCCTGAGGTTCTCCACGTTGGGCTTCTGTGGCTGAGCAACATCAGCAGCAGTTTTTTTTCACCAAATCGCTTCCAGTAGATCGGATCCCTCCCTGACAGAATCGTTTATAGAATGTTACCAATCTGGGGTGAGTCCGCTAAGCGAAAGACCCCCCTCCCAGGCATCCTCCCTCCCACGGAGACGAAGCCACATGTGGCCAACCAAGCACTTGGCATCGAGTTCGCGAGCGCAGAAACGCCCCACTCCATCAGCTGGTGACACCTTAGTGACAGACTGGCACCAGGTGTGCGATGAAGATTTTGGTTCATTTTATCCCATTGGCTTTTTAAAATACATAAAGAATTGCTACAGAGAAAAAACAACAACCACAATCTAATAGTTCAATATCCTACCCATGCGACGGTGTCTTACTCACCGTTGTTCCAGTTTTCCGCCGCCGTGGCAGAGTCTTTTTTGTTTCGCGCCAAAGACATCCAGAATGAGACTGGTCCTACCTGGACTTTCATTCACCCAAAGCCACTGATCAGGTGAGCACCAGTGCCTACCGTGGTAGCCCGGCGGAAGCAACGGGGAAATATGTGAAACATCTGCATTCTGTTCCAAAAGCCCAAAGGAAGGTGTTCAGCCCATGTGACAGAAGGAAGAAAGCATGGGTCCAGCATTGGGCAGTGAAGTCCTGGACTGTACCAACATCGTGACCCTCAAGTGCAGATGGATCAACTCATGGGAAGATTTAGGGAGTCGACCCGTTGAATTTGGGGAGGTCCTATTCTTTCTCCAACCACTGTCACTGAGAGCTTACCCAAAACCAGTTCTCTCTCTAACAGGTGACCCGGAATTCTGCGTTCTACTTACTGAGGTATCCGTGTGCGTTCTACTAGGACAAGAACAACGATGACGACAGCAACTGTCAACTAGACACCGAAGACCTTTCCCTCTCGCACTCTTCGTGCTTCGCGCACGCTCCACCCGCAGGAGTTCTCCCACTGGGCGGCGGAGCCGCAGGGGATTTTTGGTGGGGCACCCCAGCGGCGGCGGTCGGAGCGCGCTGGCAGCGCCTTCCGATCCAAAGAGTGTGGAGCCTGGTGTTTGTAGCGTGAACCATTGGTCCAACCATGGCTGGTTGGTCCAAGCCCTTGCGAGTCGCAGCTTCGAAATCATGCGGTTCTGCGAGTCGCCGCCGTCCGCGCGGACGGCGGACTCACACGAGCTCTGGAGGCGTGGTGCCCGCGCGGGCGGTGCATGCCATGAGCCGAGAGGAGCAAGCGGCCTTGAGGATCCAATCGCTGGCGCGAGGAGCGAACGCGGAAATCCGTGGAAATACCACACAGGGAGGTAGGAGGGATCGGTGGGATGGGAGTGCGACTCGAAGGAGTTCCACGGGTTGCACCGGGGTTGGGTTTTGGGATGCCCATGATCCGATGTATTTTGGAGCCCAAAGCAGCGCCAAAAGGCGAGCAGGAGCTTCAGTGACCAACGACTTTTGTGACCCCTCATGGGATTTCTTTTGGATGATGGACCTGTGTTTTGGGATTTAAACATATTCGATCCATGAAATCAGTGGTGGGCCAGGAACCCTAGCGTCTATATTCCAGCACCACGGAGAGAGTGGTTTATAGACATCCCTCACTCCCTTACTATCTATTATATGCTATTATAGTTCCAATAACCACCCTTTCCTCTTTGTGGATCCTCTGAAACAATTCCGGCTCAGCGGGTTCTTTTTGGGGAGGTCCGGAGCTCGGGGGGGTCCAGATGGGTCAAGCACAAGGTTTTCCAATTGTCCGCTGCACGGGGAATAAGGTCTGACGGTCATCAAAAGATCTTCAACATCTCGAGATCAGCGAAGGTGGACGGTCCTGGATGGTGGATGAAGGAGAATCATGAACACCTTCCAGCCTAAGCCGAAAGGTTTCAGTTTTTACATTTTTATTCATCACCGGTCTACATGAGTGTTCACGAACTTGAACTTCTATATAACTGCCCAGTTCAGTTTTGCTTCTTTCCAAGCCTTCTGGCTTGGACGACATGCCTCTGTAGCCGCAGCCGGCCATCCCCGATCTCGTTTCCCCCCAACAAAAGAACCAAAACCGGAGCCAATCGACCCTTCCGCCCAGCTCGCGGTTTCAGTCGGGGGTTTTTCTCTCGCCGCAGCGGTGGTTTCAGCCAGCGCCACGCGGCGAGGACGGATGGCACGGAAGCGTGTGAAGCCCGAGAAGCGCAAGAAGAGCGTCGAACGCGTGGACGAGGTGCGACGAACGGTGGACCGTTTTCTCGACCGTTTTCTTGATCGTTTCGACGGGGCCAGACCTACCTGGCCGGACCTATAGACGTGGATGAATAGGGGGCAAAAGTGACCCGGTTCGGCGAAGAACCATGTTTCGGTCGATACCTGACATCGACCCTTCAATGATTCCCCAACAGAACCGAGACGTTCAGGGCCGTTTGGCGAGGTCAGGGAGGTGGGATGAAGCCTTTGGGTTTTCACGCGAGCGCCAGACGGCTGACGGCGGATGAGCAGTTTAGCACCTGGAAAGACCGGAACCCGTGGTGGGTTATAAATGATTTAGTAGAATCAAAACAGAATCAACCTAATATCAGCGATTCAAACAGAATATCAGCGATTCATGACCAAACCACAAACCAGGCTCAAGCTTAGACCAACAAGGTTTTCCTCGCACGCAGAAAAACTTTTGGGGGTCTTCACCAGGTTCTGGTCAAGTCTACACAGGGATTCGAGTATTTGCAGACTTTGATGTGACCAGTTTGTACCCCTTCCTATGCTTTGAACCATGTGCAAACCCAGGGAGCATCAGCAAAGATTGACTTGGTGGACATTCAAGCTTGAGCCACATCCATAGCTGCTCGTTGAACTAGAGTTGACTCGTGAAATCTCGTGAACAAATGATGATCGTGAGCGGCTGATCAAGATGATCAGAGATGAATTAAGCATGGGACGTGGTATTTTTTCAGTCTTCCATCAAGGGATTTAGTGTTTTTCTTATATTATGATATGTTTTCAACAAGTAATAAGGACTGATGTGAAGCAAAGGATACCATTGCTGACAAAGCACCAGACGACTCACATCTCCACCATTTCAACTCCAACCATAGCACCAAATGCAGTCGGGACTTTTCTCACGATTTTGCCACCAATCTCATAAGACCTGCCTCCACCCCCCGCGTGGCACGGGGGCTGAAGTCGACCATCTTCCCTTCCTTCGCCGGGCCGAACGTTCGACGTGGCAGGCGCCGGTGACGTCAGGGCCTGCTGGGGCATCGCCCATCACCAGAGCTGAGCTATGGGAGGGCTTGGCCTTTGATCACGGGAGAGAAGGGCAGGGGGGGGGGGGGCATTTTTGGGGATCCGGTGGTTCTTAGTGTAGCTCTCGAGCAGCAAAGTTGGAAGTCTGGATGAAAGCGTTTTTGAGACTGGACATACAGCAGCAGCATGTGCTGTTTCCAACATGTCATGGAACGAGCTCGGTTGGACACGTTAGGTCGTTCTGGTCCCGTTCAACTTGACTCCTTGGGGCCGTTCGGCGTCACCCTTCAATGACCCCTGAGTCCACCCGTCCACCCGTCCCAGGAGGATTCGGCCCAAGGTGGATTTGTACGAGCTGGTGTCAGGCTTCAATGGCTGCATCAGGCCGCGACCGGTCGGACTTCGGTCGATGTTTGGGGCACACGCTGAATGTAGAGAACATGGTCATGGTCATGGTGGTAAACCACCTGGATCTTCCAAGTGGTGTTCTGCCTTTTCAACACTTTTCATCCAGAAACAAAAGGCAAACATTTTACACATGCTAAAAGATCCAGGTTATTATCGTAAATACATCAAAAGATATTCATGCAATGATTAAGTTGCATCCATTGATCATCATTAATCAATTTGTGCATGTTTTTGCCGTTGTCTATTCAGCAGGGAGGTATGGCAATTTTCAGTGTTCATCGTTGGACTTGCCGTCCAGTTGTGGATGGACCGGAAGGGCCGCGACAGGCGCAACAGACACTCTTGGTCACTTCCAATAAATAGGCTCTGTTACACGCCATGTTGTGTTGAATGGGTGTGGACTAAAATAGGGAGACCTCCCAGTTGGAGAGCTAAGGAAGAAAACCACAACCATTGGTTGTGGTATCGCCGTATCATCATCCACACCCAAATACCATCAACAACCCATGACATTAGGACTCATTACGCAATTCTGAGTTTCTTTTGTCTTGGAGAGTCCTATGACACGACAAGTAAGTGTGCTGGCTGGAACCAAAAGACTCCATCTGCAGCATCAGCAGCATCGCAATCGATTCACTCATCATTAGTATAGGCACTGCAGGAGTTCCAAGGTTCGTTTCCTTTCGCACGGAATCCGAGTCTGAAGAGGCTCTTGGTTCCGAAGAGGTGCCATGCAAACTTTGCAAACACACACTCAGCCAAGCTCTGGCCTCTGCAGTTCCAAGGTCCACTGACCAACAAGCGGCAGCGTATTGCTCGGGCCTCCGGTTCGATTCGGCATCCGTGTCTTTTCCAACTGAGAAGACTCTCGAGTCGCAAGTGTTCTAGCGGTTTTGGGGCGCTAGGGGGTTCTACTGGGATTTTTTTTCCTTTTTGGGGAGGTCCCACTAGCGCTGGTCTGGCAAGTGCTTGATGGACAGGAAGAAGAAGAGGACCTCTCCTTGTTTGGCCAGGACCGGGCTCTCCAGCGCTGCAGGGGTCCTCTCGGAGGCCAGCCAAGCGGAGGAGCGGGCCTGATCGACCTGGAAGGATGTGGAGGGATCCGCTGCAGGTTCCCCCGGTCAAAATGGGAGACACCTCAGAGCCTCACGAAAGAAGAGGTGGAAAGTTCGATAAAGGTATATAGAGGGTTTGGCTAGTACCAAGGGAGAGAATCATCCAGCCAAAGGTATCACTTGGAGTACCCCATTAGTGTCTTTTTTCAGCCATGTAGATCATGTAGTAGCTTCAAACCATCTCACATATGTATGGGAGGTAGAGGATACACCTGCTTTTATGAATGCCTTCTTGCACCAAACGTGTTTTTTCTTGGCAAAACCGTGGCGAGGCCTCACAGCTGGTCAACCCCGTCACTCCCAAAATCCTCCCAAATCTACTGGTCGGCTCCATCGGACTGACATATTCACCATGACACTCCAGGGTGGTTCTTTCAGGGGTCGATGGGGCACATCTTCCAGTCCCCTTCTCGCTCCGTCGCGACCGTCGCGCGAGCTGCGAGGAGCTGCTGCCCGAGCAGGTGAATCACCTTGCCTTGCTGATCAAGACCAGAAAGGCACCGGTGGTACCGGTCTGGAGGTCCGGTTCTGGAATTGAAAGCACATGAAGGCACCTTACTACATTCACACATACTAATTACAGACGTTTCTTTGTCTATTCCGAGGGTGTTTTCTTTTTTCACTTTCGGCCAAGTGAATCGGGCATGAGGAAGACACCAAGCACCCCAACATGTCCATGGGGAGCTGGCTCAACACCGAACCCCCCGTAGCTTGGCTCCTTGTAGCTTGACCAGGTCCACAAACTGCTCCATTCCTGAAAAAAGCCAGAAGTCCGGTGATGACCCACAACTCACACCATAACCAGACTCTTGATTCATCAAACCCCTCCGTGATTTCAAGCCTCTTCGTATGTTCTTTCTTTGGATTCATCGGAACCGAGCCTCCCAAGGTCCGCCGAATCGGATGAACTGGTCGTGTGCGACGCGTCCAGGAGCTGGTCCCAGATGACGAAGCCTTTGAGGAGCTGAGGAGGATCAAGGAGATCGGGGCCGGGGGGCGGTGAAGCCATGTGAGCCGGGTGGGCGCTCTGGCCAGCCTGTTGAGGGGGTGAGGTTTCACGGGAGGACCGCCACTGAAAGAGATGGCCAGCCAAGCAAAATGCGACCCAGGAAGTACGTGGATCGCCTGCTCCACTTTCTGGGGGGATGGGGTTTTCCCCTCCCTACAGTTGTTGTTGCCTCACCTTTAAATATCTCAGACATTGGAATACTCTTGGACCCCCACTCTAGGCGCGTTGTGGCTCTTTTTCGGCGGCGAAAAACGGAGTGACGCTGGTTTCCAGTGTCCTCAGCTTCTAGGTGCTGGTTTTGCTCCGCGTTTCGATGCCACTTCTCAGAAGCTGAAGGCGCAGAGGTCGAAGAGGACACAGTCCAACTTGAAGCGTTTAGACCGACGCTGGGTCTCCCTGTGACTATCTCTGACTGGCAAACCGATGGTTTTCTCCACATAGCTGTGGTTTTCTCGACTTGGAGCCTGGAACCCATCCCCCTGACCTCCGTTGGGCTCCCATTCGCCACCACATCCACCAAGTACCGAGTGCCCAGAGGTTTCGATTGCCCGCCCCACGTCGGTTCGCCACGTCCTCCGGAGGAGTTTGTGCGGGACTGTGAGGTGGCAGTCCGAGTGGATGGAAACATGTCCTGGAGGCATTTCAAGAACTGGATCGGCGTGTTATCCGCTTTCAGCGGGATTGATGCTTCGGTGATCTTCTTCCAATGGCATCTCGACGGAACATACCAAACATATCAGGGTTTTGCTTGAAAAGGGCAACACCTTTGCGCAGGACGGTCAACCATAGAACGGACGACACACACAGGATAACAGTCATAGAGACTATACAGCCATAGACTAAGTTTGAGCTCGTAGAAGAAGTCCTGTTGGAGTCCCCTGCCGCCCCAAGCCCTGGCTTGGTCATGCATCACCGCCGAGACAAAGAGGAACCATCCAACCGCTTGGAAAACCGATTCCGAAGGCAGCATTGGCACCGGCGCCGAGGTACTGGTTCGAGTTCGGCCTTTTTCAGCCGACCAAGGAAGTGCTCGAACTGTTGCTTGGTGTGTTGGTGGCAAGAGATGAGGAGCTCAGGTTGGTGGATGTTGGAAGAGTTCGTTCTAGTCTATACGAACATCATTAGGATTCCTGCTACAAGCGAGTCTTGAATCCTTTTTCAAAGATACCTTTTCAATACCTTTTCTGTATTTTTTTGCTTCCTTTGCTCCTGAGAACCGAGGTTGCTCACTGAGACGGTCTATAACGAGTCGCGCCTGCGAACCCTAGCTCCTTGGAGTGGAGGGAGGGAGGTTACGATGTTACGCACCGTCAAAGCTCCCTGGGTTTTTGAGCTGGGTTGAAGGGGAACACCAACAGGAAAACCCTGGTTTTTGCTCCAAACGATGGGTTTTCGCTCAAGATTCTTTTTTCCGTAGTTTCCCATTCTGGGAAATCTCCCAGATTGTGGAAGAACTTACAGACAGCTGAATCAAATGCTCTTCGATAGCTGCTCTTCCAGAGCCCTGAGAGACCCGATCCAATTCTCGGAGAATTGGTATCCGGTATCCCACTGAAAACTCACAAAGACCTTGAAAACCACCGACCCGGGTCCATGTTAGTTTTTGGGAGTGCAAGCCTTTCATGGCCGATCTATACTGAATCTACACTTCCCCCCCCCCCACACACTGCATGGGAGTTCCACGTTTACCTGTCACTGGGGTGGTTGAAAAGGCATTCCATGCGATCAATGCAGTTGCATGGAGTATCAAGAGGAGAAGGATTGGTCAACAAATTGAACTGAAGGAGTTTGACCGGATCCATTCCCAAAAGTTTCTACTGGCACCAGAAGTAATAAGTAATCTCTGACCCACACATCCTATAAAAAACTTGGGTACGTTGGGGACTTAGACGCACAGTTCCAGAATCAGTGGGGAATGCCCAGCAGGTAGCAGACACCTGCTTTCGGAGCCGCGGCCAAACGTTCCAGTCTAAAGGGAGACGAGAGGCCAAATGGCCGGCCATGGTTGTAAAGCTTACTTGGTCTTTGCGCTTCTGTTGCGCTGTCAATGTCCTGTAACATGTCCACCTGGGTCCTCGGTTCTTCGCAGGAATTTGCGGTCGGGCGACTGATGTAGACCAGCTCCCGTGACCGGCTCAGGCGTATCGGCAGGGCGTGAGCGTGGCGGAGTTGCAGGGCAAATTGGTGAGCATTCCTTTCAACCTGCGAGTGCCCTGCCTTTCCTTTCGAGCTTGATGGCGGTTTCTCGTGCCGTCACGAGGGATGCGAACACATGACATGTGCCTAGCAAGGTTTTTTCTTGGTGTGTCGTGGGTTCTTGGTGGCCTACTCTTAGCTTGGGGTTGGCTCAACAAGAACTCTTCATAGTGGCGGTTGCACACGAGGATGTAGTTGATTGGTCTTCAGAGTGGGTTCGTACCCCAGTTTTGATGCAGATCTTAAAGTGGCGCCGGAGGATATTTTCCCCATCATCACATCACTTTCCCCATAAATCAGAGGGAATGGCTCATAACACCAGCACCCCCAAAGGGGCATTTAGGTGAACAGCATACATGTGCGCATCAACATACTTCTCACTTTGTGTAGCTCAGTTCCTCGTGGGCTGGTGGTTTCCTCAAAGGCGTTCAGTGGAAGTGGCGGTCGTCAGGTGATGAAGGAACACTCCTCTCACTCTGCCAGACCACATACCAGGAGCATCCTGTCTGGACACTCCCTGGATGCGTAGAGGCCACTCTCTGGAATCTTTAGCATGGTCCAGACGCTCCAGACCAGTGTCTGTCCGTGTTTTCGGTGCGAAGCTCCGCGAAGCTCCGAGACTCGAGCGCCTTTCGTGCGCAGCTGACCGCCTCGAGGACGTCATGCAGCTGGTCTACAACGGGGGCCTCTGCGGACGCAGCGACCGGCCGTGCCTCAATCCCTCAGAGGTGCAGGCGCAGGGCACCACGGTGACGGTTCACTCACGGTGACTCTCGGTGGGTCACGGCGGGAATTGGGGTGACAAGGAAGGTCTTTCTGAGGGACTGCAAGGTCTGATGTGTTTTTTCTTTTGTGGACCATAGCTGGGATCTTTGGATGTACTTCAGAACTTCAATAGACCTCCAGTGGTTTTTTCAGGTTTACTTCTACGTACGGTGCCGTGCTTCGCACCATTCTACGTACGTGCGATGTGTCACCCCACCGACACGTGGAGGGGACCGTGGAGACGTTTCATCCATTCGCGGCGCCTACGCGACGTGGGCCATGTCGTGAAGGATGTGACGAATGGTTGAGAGAAGCATTTTTGTGCCCTTCTTGTTCCTAGTTGTAAGGCCAGGAGCGCCCCGTTCGCAGCGATGCCGCCCTGCTCCGTTCGAGTCGCGATGCCCTTGTTCCGTTCGTAGCTTCTTGTTACACCATTGGTGGGAAGACCCTCAAAGGCCCCAACAGCAGCGCTGAGCTTGAACATCTTTAACCCCAGACGTTTTGGCCGCTGCGGTCAGCGACGAACTGAACGGTCCGTTCGCTGTGCGAAAGCACCGTCACCGTCCGTTTTCGCCGCCATGGGCGTGCCCCAGAGCAGATCTCAGGTGTCGGATTTTTCTTGATTGGCAGCAGGACAATCTTCATGTAGACGGATGAATCACCCACCCCATTTGAGGGACCTCCTTTTCAGAATCCTCCCCTGCAAACATGGAACCCCCAACACCACTGGGTTGGTATTCGGAAAATGGTCGAAACCGCCCGGTCAATCCTCATGTTCGATCCTCCAGGCGCTCTGGCCTCATGCTGTGAGGTGCGGTTCCTTGGTGACGAGGTCAGTGAGGTCCAAGACCTGCTGGGTTGCAGTACAGAGGGACACTACTTCGTTCCCAGTGAAGTTTGTAAACACATTCAGATCCAGATCCCTGGATGCATGTGAACGGGAAAGACTTGCTGGCTTCAAGCTGTGGGCTGTGGTTCCTCCATGTTCCTCCGTGTTGGCAAGAACCACAACGTGGGGGGGTCTGCTTTTTTCACCTCATGGCCCCCTCATGGCCGGTTCATGTCAATGTACCTTTCACAAGAAGAAGCTCATAAGAATCTTACAAGGAATCTAAGAAGAACTGAGCGGCCGATTCAAGACATCATAAGAGTTCAAAAGAAGAGTCGAAATCAGGCCTTCACTCCTCTTGGCCTAAGATTATATCCTTTGCTTCTTCAGGCTCTGCTCTGGGAACTTTCCCTACCCCCTTTGAGACGGACCCCACTCCTGAGAGCGTCGTTGCCAGGCACATGCCACACATGCTCCGGGCACGGCGCCGGCTGCGGAGTGCCGTCGCCACCGGGAGGAGGTCCAAGGCGCCGGTCGTCGGACGAAAACATGCGAGCCGAGGCGACCACCAGTGAGTTCGCAAAAAACGAATGGATAGATTTATAGTCTATCCTTTAAATTTGTGAAGTAGTGAAACACATGTATGTATTTTACATATATTCTAAATTGTATAAAGCAATGGTTGTTCAGTATCAACCATCACTACATCAATGTTCGGAGAGGAATCCTAGGGCCTCCAGAACCTTGGCAGGCAATAAGACCATGACCAGTACTTGTGGGACTTCGCGCTTTGCACCAAAGTTCCACCCAAGAATACTGTAGATCATGAATGATCTACTAGTATAAGAACCAGTGTTGGTTCCATTTGGTTCCTCCCCTGCTCTCAATAGCCGTTTTTCTCCGTCGTCCGTCTCTCTTGCTGGAATCCTCGCAAAAAGACTCTCAGCTCTCAGTCTAGGATCCGCACGGCCAACGTTCCCCACAGTTCGCGCACTTCACCACCCTCTTCCGCTTCCGCCGCACCCAGCTCTTCCGTCTCCCGACGGCGCCGGACGTGCTTCGAGGCACCGGAAAAAGGCGAAGCCTTCAAGGAGACGGGTCACGGAGCGCGCGACCGTTGCGGTGCTGCCGGGGGGTTTGGTCGAGGTCGAACCCGGCAGTGCACCTGGTCGTCCCCAAAACGAAACGTTCCCGTGGGGTTTTGGACCGTGGGGTCGGTGAGTAGCATCAGCTTTGGGGGGAATGGAAGGATGAAGCGGACCGGACCCGGGAGGTCGGGAGGATATGTGACTGTTTCAGAAACTGTGAGGGTATAGGTCAGGTGCACTTTTGGATATGTGATTAGGTCAAGCCGTCCAGTTTCGGTGTGCTCGGTTTCTCGTTGGAAGGCTGCCATGGCATGAAAAGGGTCGGTGCGTACCGACTGCTTGGAACATCTGCCATCAAAGACTCGTGCGACTCGTACGTCGGACGGGTGACTTTGGATGTTTGAACCACATCCAAAGCAGGAAGAGCTTGCCACATGAGCAGCGGTCAAAACTTTAAGTAACAATTTCATACAATTTCAAGAGAGGTTAAGGTATTGTGCCTTCGCGAAAGCAACACATGCAGTCGCGAAAGATCGCAAAAGAGCGCGCAAACTTTTCATGTGCGAAAGCTTGTGAAAGCTCGGGAAGGCTAGCAAAAGCTTGCGAAATCCGTTATTTCTGGTTGTTTTGGGGGTCCAGGCCTTAGATCGTTGTTTCACTATACGAGTACGGTCTGGTTAGCACCAGCATGGGGTGGTTTCATTTCAGCACATTCAAGATTTGGGGTCATCTCTCTATAGCATCATCTTCGCCATGTCGACGGCCAGAATTTGATTTTGTGAGACTTTGGAGCTTCTAAGAGTCTCTTGAAACTTCCAAACTGGCCAAAGTCATCCAAAGTCCTTCCGGAGTCTGCTTCGGGTTCTCAAATCCCTGAGATGGTCCTCATTCCTTCTTCCAAAATGGCTTCGAAGCCTTCAGAGCTTTCCCTCCGAAGAGCGCCCCTTTCAAACCAAAACGTTTCGAACCAACTCAGAATCGCCTGGAGGGTGAACCCATGGAGAAAGTGAAAACATGTGAAATCACCTGAATTGGATTGGTTTGGATTGATTTGGTTTGGTCAGGGGTAGTTCTTGGGGGCCACTGTCATACTTTGTTTCAATTTCAGGGAGTGATAAATGGCCTGACCTACGCCCTTGGTTGACGACTAGAGGGGATACCCCGAAGTGAAGAACAACTACCAACACCTTCCAACAGGTCTCCTTTACAGGGTTGTTAGGCCCTAACAGGTTTCAATTGGTGACCTAATGGAGGTGCTGGTATAGGTGTATGATACCAATTCAACCCCTCTATGATTAGCAGAAGGACATCATTCTATCGGGGCGAGTCTGTAATGACTACCCAGATGCTCCGTTCACAGCTCGACCGGACCCTCAAAACCTATAGGGATTGATTTGTCCGTATAGAGGGTCCATGAGCGTTTGGGTAGAGAGAAAAAGTGAGTGAGAGCTTCTCGTTTCAGAATGAAGTTTGTAGACCCATGAACAGGGTACAGGGCCCTGTAGGGCCCTTTCAGGATGCCGGGAAGAAAGGTGATGACTCCAACATCATCGCGGGCCGGTTGACGGGTTCTCTTCTTTCAACGAAGGCATGTGTGTGTACTGGTGGCGCGTTTTCGCCCGCCACGTTCTTTTTGGCGTTCCTCGCACGTGCCCCCTTCGTCCGGAGGACGAGGGTGACAAGACCAGCCTCGGTGGTC